GCCCCGGTAGCTTGGCCGTGTGGTGCGCCGCACCACACGGCCAGCTCGAGCCCATGCTTCAAGCTAGCACGCTCTCTCAACTCCGATGCCCTCCTGCTTACTGGAAAGTTGTTCAGTCGATTTCCAAACGGCAAGTCAGAAAATTGATGATAGACGTAGGGAGTGACGACGGTCGGCTGGGGTGCAGTTCCTGTCGAGAGGTTTGGATACTTTGTGAAATCCCAGATCTCAGCCCAGATGTCATGATAGCCGTACTCCTTGTCTGTAAATATTCCCTTGTATTCCTTGTAAAGAAAAGGAATATTTGCATTTACGGAAGTCCGAAAGTCGCTTGATGGATTCTGTGCCAGCCAATCCATCAAGACAGGAGCATCCCCGTGCACAACAAGAAGCCAGTCTTTGAACGCGCTCTGGAAGTGGCGTATCGTCACTCTTGTTTTTTCTTGCTCCATAAAGACGAGGAAGTCGATGAAATGCTTGGCAAGGTTGGCGACCCATAGGAAATCCTTGAAGAAGCGGCGATACTCCTTGGCAGGCAGGCCGAGTCTGTAGAAGACGTCACTCTGCTCGCAATACGTGGACTGCACCCAAATCTGATTACCCACACTATGATATTGCTGGCCATATTGTCCTACTGGAACCGCGTTAATTGGGATTCGTTTCATAAACGTCTTGCCTTCTCCATTGTTGCTCAGAACTCCGTCGAAGAAGAAGCTCCCGTAGTCGGGCCTGGTATAGAGCTGGTGCAAGCAGCGCATCTCACACGGATATCTTTCAGTGTCCAAGTAAACTGCAAATTCGTCCAGCCGTAGCTCAGAATGACCAGAAGAGGGTGAGGACTGAGGCTGTACAGACAGGCCGAAACACTCCAAGGCATCTTCTTCAGATTTTTGGGGAGCAGGTGGGTTAAACGGCTCGTAGCAGGATCGAGGCGACGTCAAGTGAAGGTCGGGAATCTCTACCGCTAAGCCGGGGGCTTCCTCGGAGAAGGCACTCGGCGATGATGAGCTTGCTCGCAGCGTCTCGGACCACTGTGACGAGTCGTCTCGACAGGATGCCGAGTCATTCTCGCCAGCCCATACGCCATCTGTATGAAGAGTTCCTTCCATGACGGGGGTTTATCGTGTTCAGACTCAGAGGCCTCGAGTTCGCTTCTCATGTTGGTCGACGAGACTGTAGTAGATACGGCGTACGTAGCCAGGGTCTTAGATGTGAAGCGTGCCCATGATGGAAGCAATTATAACCTTTATAGTGGTAGTTGAATAGTTTATAAAAATTAGAGGAAAAGTGATTACAACTTGTGAGTCCGTAGAGGAAAAGGACCAAATGGATGGATTCATGAACAAACGGAGAGTGAGCGAAAAGTGAGAATAAACTGTAAAACTCCAAACGGGAGTCATAACGTTGCCCCACAGCATCATCGTTAATTTTTCAAGTGAGAGAACATGTAAAGCTCAAGTGAAGAGTTGAGGATGTGAAGGATGAGAGCTGTTTGTGCCGAAGCAATTACCGGGGACATATTGCATTTGTGGAAGAAGCCAGTGCTCAAGGCACTCTGTAAAGCTCGCAGGACGCTTATACAGTCGATTTTGAAAATATGAACCGTTACGTAGTAATGAGAAAAGAAAGGCGTGCATTGCAACGTTACTAATATAAGAAATGACGCCTGAGAGTAAAACCACACGTGTCCGCTGTAAAATGACAAAACAGAAACGAGACTTGATGGAAACTACCTTCTAGTCGAATGGCCCTAAATTCGACGCTTTTGCCTCAGTAGTTGTCAGATCATGGAGGTGACAACATAAATAAGCATATAGTCAGGACGCACACAATGTTCATTATTCAAGCGCGAGTGAATATTGCGTGCATCAAAAACACATGATACAATCCAACAATACTCGCAGTTGCCTTCGGTGCTCCGTCCACAAGCAAGAAGTCTCCCCTGTATCGCTCTGCATAATGCCCGACGCTAGAAAAACAAACCCATGATATCATAATCTCATAACACATCAAGTATCCCCGTCCAGTCTGCTCTCTATCGACGACGCCGAAACCTGCTATTATAACCCGGCCCTCCCTTGGCCCCATTATTCCTCAACTTCAATCGGTGGAAATTGGCGTGAGCAAGCTCATTCACCTTCCTTGCTACCCTTTTCACGGTCCCCTCTTTCTGAGTCCCCTTTGCTGGCTTATCTGTCGATTTGGCCGGCCCTTCGTTTTCAAAATCACTACCTGATGCCATGTCCGCGAAATCTGCGTCGGGACCATTGATGAGTTGCGTTTCTGGGATCACGTCCTCTCCATCTTCCTCGCCATCTCGGTCCCTGGGAGCGTTCTCTGGCTTTTTTATTCGAGTTGGTTTAATATTGACCTTGCGCGTTGTTCTCTTTTGTCCCTTCTTCTTGTATACCGGCAGGGGGTTGCCGTTGTGATCGACGCCGTCCTCAACGGGACTGTCGTACATGCTTTCGTCGTCAAAGCCTCCTAACAATGCTGGTCGTTGGCTGTCTTCCACAATTGCTGGAGTGGGTGCTGCCGCGGGATCCGATGCTTGTCGCGTGCCCAGCGATGGAGACGTTGGCCTACGGATATCCGTATCCTCATTCTCCGCTGCCCTAAGAGCATCCAGATCGTCGTCGTCGTCGAGCACATCATCCTCTACTTTCCTTAGACTAGCTACAATTTCACTCAATCCCCGAACAAGCGGCTTCCTCGGCAGTCGGAGTGGCGATGGGTCGGCAAAAATGGCATTCTCGTCGACTGCGGGCAGGGAGTGTCTCTTCAAGAACGCAGGTGTATCGAACTGCAGCTTGGATACAGATGACGGGGTCTTGGCATCTAGACTGCCCCGTCGGTTTTTCATTGGCGTCGCAAACGTATTCAACACGTTTCTCCTACTCGAGGACATGGGCGTTCTGCCGAGTTTGGTGCTGCTTTCGTGGTCGTAGGCGCCAGTCCGCTTGCTAGGCGTAGACTGGACATTGCCACGAGATCGACCTGGTGTACCGGGCGGTTTGGCTGTGCCCTTCTTGGATGGTGTGCCAAGCTCTTTCTCAACTAAAAGGTCAAATAGACCTAGGACGCGGCCGTCACGTTGAGGGGTGGGACCGAGGGATGTTACTGGTGCAGGGCTGAATAACTTCCTTGATATAGCGGGTGTATTCATCAAGTCTTCATCGTGAGGTCGTTGCTTGGATGGTGTCTCGGCATACTTGGTTCGTTTAAGTGGTGTCTCTGTAAGAATTGGATCTGGTTGCCGCTTCTTGGGTTTCGGTTCTGATTTTGCCGGTGGTGGCTGCTTTCCGGAGAGAATGTCGCGGGCTTTGTTGTAGTCTTTGTATTTCTGTGCTGCCAAGTGTATCAGCCGTTAGCATCTACCACCCGTTGTATGCCCAAAAAATCACACACCAATATCGGGATTGTCCTTGATGTCTTGTCGCCCAGGCTTGCTCCCGTCGTGTGCTTGTGCCCACTCGCCCTCCCAAGCTTTTAGCTCCGTTCTCAGGTTCTTTGCTTTGTTTTCGTACCGAGATCTAGTCTCGTCGTCCATGGTCACTCGAAAATATGTGATTTGCAGAGTCTCACATGCAAATATTGAGCGAAGTGCTTGAAACAAGACGGCATTGTGGGTTGCATGCTGGATTGTTCGTGTGGTCGGCTCGGGCCCATGTCCCTCTGCGCGTCGAGAAACGCGTCTCGTCGGACTCCATTTAGCAGGGCGACGCGATTTTTAGCGCCGGAGGGTGCTGAAGCTACGGCGGCTCCCACCAGACCAGACGTCATCTTCCTTGCTGCGGGCGACCAGATATCTGGACGGTGGTGGATCTTTGGCCCCCACTTTTGCCGTGGGGATCCTCGCCACTGCAGTGTAAAGCGAACCACCATTTGATCGATCTATGCAGACATTACTTCTTCACCAGGACACCTGCTGGGCCTTGCCTCGTCACATCTCCGCGGGCACATTGCCATGGAGAAAGAGAAAGACCAAAGCACCGACGATCTCCAGCGGCGTGTCCTTCAGAACACTCTCAACGAAGTAGCTGCGAGGGAAGAAGACGCAGCCGATTGCTGCGTCATCTGTCTCGATGTCATAACAGAGCCATGCGAGGCCTTGCCGTGTGGCCACCGCAATTTCGACTACATCTGCGTGTCGAGCTGGCTGTTTGAGACACCGCAATGCCCCCTCTGTAAAGCCAAGGTTGTCAAGGTCGTACATGGACCTGCCCAAGATCCCGTCACGACCTTCATCAGCCAAAAGCCTTCTACAGCCGCCACCACCAGCACCTCCACAACAGCGAGGTCCGATGGTTCCGCATATTACGGACGCCGAGGAAGATTTGGATGTACAAGACAAAGAGGCAGACCATTTCGCAACCAAGAGAGACCGAATACTATCTCCAACGTAGTCGCTGCTCGCCGAGACGTGTACCGTCACCAACGATACTCCAAACACGTCGGGTCTAACCGCCTCTCCCGCTATCGCGAATTGACACCACAGATGTTTTGCTCAGATGCAGAGCTAGTTTCCCGCGCGAGGATGTGGATCCGGCGAGAACTCCGAGTCTTTTCATTCCTCTCGCCTGACGACGACGGCGGAAACGACGACGGAGGCACATCGCAGCCCACGCACACTGGCTCCAGAACAGCCATGCAACATCGCCGTGCTAACAATGCGGAATTCCTTTTAGAATACATCATTGCCATCCTGAAGTCGGTGGATATAATGGGAAGCGGCGGCCAGGCAGAGGACATGCTGTCCGACTTCCTGGGGAGGGACAATACAAGGCTATTTTTGCACGAGCTCCGTGCTTGGCTACGGAGTCCGTTTACGAAGCTTGAGGATTGGGATAGGGCTGTACAGTACGAGGGAGATGCGGGGAGAGGAGAGCCTGGAGGCGAGGTGCCCAGAAACGACGTGCATCGCGAGGATAGCTCAAGTCGTCATCGTGAGGATGCGGATAGATATCGGGCCAGGCGCGGAGGTGAATTTTACCGTCCTAGAGGACGGAGGGACGTGAAACATGAGTCTTATACATCGAGACATGCTGTTGAGCAGAACTGGCGGAGAAGTAGATCTACTAGACGGGCGGCATGATGGGCGGGTTTTTGGACACGGCGTTTGTTAAGTTGCACATGATACCCCGATGATGCCTTGGATGACGGTGTATACAACAAATTTAATCATCAGTTACTTGCGGTAATGTATCTCTGGGCGAATACCCGCTTGCTCCGTTCACCTGGGCTTTATTCCAAGAACCCATACACCGGCGGAACTCCGCCCGCTAACTGGTTTCATCTCACCACGACGACCCGCAACATCGGAAAAGTCTAGGCAGAAAGATTGCTGTTCAATCATGAGGTGATTTGTATTTACAGTGGTAATTGTGGCTGTGTACAAGGAAAGGGCCCAAGAATTTAAGATTCAAAGGGTTCATGCAGCGCATACTCAACCTCATTGCACAATCCTGCACCGCTCATCATATCTGCAGACTCCATCACTACGGAAAGCCAACTCCGTCATGACCATCTTCAACATCACCATCATTTCAGACACCGTCTGCCCCTTCTGCTATCTCGGCCGTGCCCGTCTCTCTCGCGTCATCACGCTCTACCGAAAAACAGTCCCCGGCGGATCCTCGTCGACCTTCAACATCCGCTGGCACGCCTGCCGTCTTGACGACAATCCTCCTGCCAAATCGGTTCTCGTCACGGACGTGGCGGCCAAAAAGTTCGGCGCAGACAGGCTCGTTGCGAAGCGAGAGTGGATGAGCCAGCTCGGCGCTCAAGAGGGCTTCACGTTTACGTTTGGCGGGAGGATCGGCAATACACGCGACTCGCACCGCGTGATTCAACTGGGGAGAACAAAGGGCGCAGAAGTGGAGGATCGTGGGGCGATGGTTGTGATGAAGATGTTGTTCGAGGAGGGCGGCGATATCACTAGCTGGTATGATCTGGCTGGCGCCGCAGAGACAGCTGGTATTGAGGCCGCAGAGACGAAGGCGTGGCTAGAGGGTGGCGGTGGTGAACAGGTCGATAGCGAGGTTGAGCAGGCGCATGCGAGGGGGTATAGAGGCGTGCCGACATTTATTATTGATGACAGGTATGAGGTAGACGGGGCGGCAGATGTGTCTGACTTTCTGGAGCAGTTCGTGCTGGCGAGAGACGAGGAGAGTGCGGCGAGTATTTATTCGAGCCCTGATGAGCAACGTACTGAGGGCGTTTGCTTCTTGTAGTTTATTGTCAGGTGTGCGGGTTGCATATATAACCGAATCGGATACCGTGGCATCTTCCAAGCTTTTTGTTCGTCATCACATATTCATAAGGCCTCCTAAATCTTTCTCCATTTGCCGCAGCCTTGCTTGAAGTTCCCTCTTCTTTGCTTCCATCTCCTTTGCCTCGGCCTCTTCCCGTCGTAGGTCCTCTTCCGTCCAAAGCTCGCCTTCATCCTCAGCGTCATCTTCTTCGCTTCCGTCCTCGCCCATCCAGCTTTTGTTCATGCTGGCCAGCTGCTCGGCCTGTTCGGCTACCCTGGCCTCGTAGTATGCCGTTGTGTTCTTTCCATTGCGATGCTTGTTTCGCAGTGCTGAAATACGGTCCCTCGCACCAGGCAGCTCATAGACGCCACAAAGCTTCTCCGCGCCGCGCAGCAAAATCTCCACATCAACGTCGCCTTTGCGATCGGTCTCTCCTCGCCGGAGCTGAGAATGCATCTCGCCGCCCAAGACGGCAGCGACCGCTGTGTGGCGGCGAGGGTTCGAAGACGCACGGGTTGGTGGACCGGTCGTTACTTCGCCCGATGCGACATTAAAAACTGTTTGGCGTCTGCCCTTGGGTTTTGATTCAGGCTCGGCGCTGCGACGGCTCTGGGTAGCTGGAGACGGAGGCGGCGGGACGGAAAAGAGAGCTCTTTCGTGAGCTTCCGTGTCTCGAATCAGAGACGTGATGTCATGGTTCGAGAGGAGAGCATTTGTGAAGATCTTGGGCGGCGGGAAACTGAGAAAAGATTAGCCTGTCGTTGAAGTGAGCAAATGGTAGTCGGAGGCGTGTTACGGTAAGGAGTCTATTCCTTGACACGAGTACGATATTTGTTGAAGATGGCCGGATAAGATGGACATTATGGTGATGTTATCGAGGACGCGTCAAATGTGCGCGCACTGGCCAAAAGTGAATTCGTACGGGCAAATAGTCGATTGACGCCGGACATGCCTCTAGGCCTGCCAATCTCGGGCTGATGCGATGTTCTCAATGCCTGGTGACAGCAACGTCACCACCACTTCCCAGTCTTGAGCTCATCGACTGACTGTCGTTAAAGGTAATAGGGACGCGACTTGCATGGCGGGGTGGAACAGCTTGAACGTGTCAAGCAAGGTCAATAGTGGGGGCAGACTAGACAAGTCAATGAATGTAGTGCCAAGGTTCAAGGTGGGGACATCAACTGCCTGATAGTCACTGATACCAACTCACGAGCATTGACTGACGGAGTACTTGGTACGGGTTTCTGTCGAGAGATTCCGTATCATAAAGCAGGGACTCGGGATCATCATTGGCAGCGAGATTGTTTTGGCATTCCTCCATTTCCGTATATCTCAATTTGTCTTGCTGCTATTGTGGCATACCTGCAACACGATAGTGTCAATCGAGATAATCGTGCTAGTAGTCACTAACCTTTTCTCCACCTACCTCACGATACTAGACATGTACTACTACATCCAATAAGCGTGACACAAAAGCGCTCCACCATTTGACTCTTGGCTCCCGCATTCCTGGCAGCGAAAACTAACTTCAGTCGACCGAACTATTATGATGAGACAGGAGCAGTCATTTCTGCAAGGTCTCGAGTAAGCCTCCAAGGTGCGCATGTCGGGTGAATGACGCCGAGATTGGCCGGAGTGATGGTCGGGCTTGGTTGACCATAGTAGTACCTTTGCGCTCCTCCGTACAACACTGATATGCACTCCGTATTACTCCGTATTGTGTTGGCCGGGCTTGCAGGACTCGCATTTTTGCCCAGACTACGGAGTAAGTCGTGCCATCCGAGACGACAAGACTTGTGCGTGTGGCGCCGTGCTGGGGCTGTCAAGGGAACGGCGGTCCGTTGACCGGAAATAAAGCTGCACATGTGGTTTCTACTCCGTACTATAAGTAAGGTTTATCGGTGCTTAGGCCCTGTATGATAATTTAGGGCAATAGTTATATTGATTGGTCTCTCTTTCTATCATTTATGCCTAAAGTGTCCCTAGTATTATTACCCCTTATATTACTATATAACGTGATTAAGTTTACTTTTCTTCTTAATAGATTAAGGGAAAGGAAAACTAGTATTAACAGCTATTAAGGTTTAATTATTAGAATTTAATTAATTAAAACCTAAAATAAATAAAGCTTAAAAGAGAATAATATATAATAAATTTTAAAAGAGAGCTTAATATAATATTAAGGTTAATATTAGTTTTCCTCCCCCTTAATTTATTAAAGAGAAAAGTAAACTTAATTACGTTATATAATAATATAAGGGGTAATAATACTAGGGACACTTTAGGCATAAATGATAGAAAGACAGACCAATTAATATAACTAATGCCCCAAATTATCATACAGCTCCACCGGATCGGACTTGTGGCTTGTTGTTTTTTCTTGCCTTTGCCTCATTCGGCGGCAAGTCGTCGGCGCCGGAACCCGTGGACCCTGCCATTCCAGCGGGCTCCAAGGAAGCAATTCAGTCGTTGCTGCAAGACTGCGGACTGTACTGCGACACCGTGGTTCGTTGGTGGTGAGCCTATTGCCATGTGCCTGTGGGTGTGCGGTGCCCGAGGCAATAGCCTCACGAGGCCGTCGGCTTATATTACACCACCAGCAGCCACCAAGCACTTAGTCACCACATTTCATCGACATCACGACACGGAGTACTCCGTACCCAGGATTCGAACACAGAAACGGTCATGGTATGCAGATCGTCGCCGTGCTGATAACCACGCATTACCCAAGGTTGGACGGTATGTATGCAAGCTTCAAGCCACATACTCGGCAGCAAACGGAGCCGCCGCTGGAATTTAAAGCCGCTTCCAGTTGCCGGTAGAGGCGGGAAGCATTTGGTATTGTACTCGGTATTAAGGGGGCGAGTCAATCAAGTTTTGAGATGCCGCACAGAGCTGCTTGAAGAGAAAGGAAGGGGGAGGGGGGGTTGGTTTGGTGAAGCCAGTGAAGTCAAATCTTGAAAGATACGGGAAGAGAGGTCTGTGGTTCCAATCCAAGTCTATCAAGCACCGCCTTGTTTTGTGGCACAGAAACCACCAAAATGCCGGCCTCATTCATAGTCATGACCAGGGGCCCTGCAGCCGATATAATCTCCCCCCCCCCGGCCTGTAGCCTTGCGCGATGTGTTTCAGACACGAAATTTACTCCTTGTCAGCATGTAGTTTTATATGCAGGACTTTATCCCCCGTGCGTCCGCGCCTCTACGAGTCTTGCTGTGCGAAGCTATTCGCGCAGCAGAATGAGCATCACACTACATGTCTGGGCGCGACACATCGAGTATCAATTACGACTGGATGCAGACGCAGAAGAGGTGCATGTTCACTGCTTTGACACCGGTCGAGAGACCTCATATGCCAAGAGTTGCGGATGGGCCCTATATGCTGGCATAGCAGGATATATTGGGCCACGTTTCCATTGAAGCTGCGCAGCCGCCGTAATTTGCCATCCAAAATGTTGAGTTGCACGACAGCATCGAATTCGACCCGGTCAACTTGTTAATGCCTCAAAGTGAGACTGCGGCCAGGCTCCGATGCATGTCTTGTTGAGACGCACCTTGAACGTAGCCAGCAAACTTCATAACGGTGCACCGCGGGACTTGCAGAATGGGGTGTCACAAGGACCTCCATTCTCTGTTTCTTCAAGTAAGAAATTGGTATAATGGACCAATTTTTTAACGTCCTTGACTTTCCAACACGGCCACGCGGTCTTTATCCTGAAATATTAGGCTGGTGTTGGGGAGAGGATACTCTTAATCTACGGGGTAGGTCGCACCGAGTACAAACAATGAGAAAAGCTTAATGGCCTTTTTTGCAGCCCAAAAGGCTGCAATGGGAAGCACGAATACCGGCATTGGTATCCCGAGCCAGCAGCACCCTCGGAGGTTTTTCCTGCCGGCAGTTTTCGCCTAGTATGCCGTGCAACTACCCCATAACCAACTCACCTGCTGTAGCACATGATGGAGTACGAGGAGGGACATCTCTGAGACATTTTCGCAGTTTAAACCGGATTTATCGTGTGAAATTTGTCTTGTCACACCCCCGCAAGCCGGGGGGCGGCTATGGCTGACGAGCTGACGAGCTCAACAAATTGAGGTATGCCGAGGTTAAGGGAAGGACTCCTTGTGTGGGGGCTGGATTTGACATGAATCAAATCGCACTTATTTGACTACATAGCTTGAGTCCTGGGTGAATTGTCGGGCTGTCTGCTTGGCTGTTCTAAGACACCGGGCCCTCGTGCTGTTGGAGACGCTGAACGCGGAGGCTTTGATGGGTGGTGAGTAAATGTCTCGATTGTGAAGGCGAGCAGCCACGTTGCGCTGGAGACTCTGCAAGACATGGTTGTCGATATAGTCGCGGACTATATACAACTAGGTCAAGTGGCCGACGGCCAATGGTTCCGTATTTGCCTAGTGGCGGCGATTTCTCGTAAAGCATCATGTCGAAAAGTCAAGCGACATTGCATAATACCGATTATTCGAGATGTTGGTCGTCGACTTCGGCTAGCACTATTTAAGCCACTCTGACTGCTAGAGAAAGGACCAGCTTGTAACTCCGTACGTGATCGTATTATATTATAGAAGATAAGTACCCTCTCCATAAGCCTGTGGCTTGCGTGAGAGTAATGAAAAAATAACCACTATCATCAGATGGGAGACTTGGGCTTTGCCGTCCAAACGTCTACCACTTACAGACACACAAATTTCATTTCGCGATCGAGCTGTGTATTAGATATGCGTACCTTAAGGAATACGGGCGCTTACTATAGGTTCTACCCTATCCGATTCGACTCATAAACTATTTTCGTCTCTAATGCTGCCGAATGAACGGGCCACAAACTGAACCCAGTAGACACACAAGGCAAACCGGGGTCTATGCGCTCATGTAAAGCGTGACCGCCGCAGATTTTTAGTTTTCTTCGACGCCATTTATGATATTTTTCCCATTGTGCTGACTTGGCTCTTACTAATAAGACGGTTTTGCAGACAAATCGCGCTCTTCAGACGTAATGTGGGAGGGCGCTGGGAAATGCCAAACTCAATGCCAACCAGAATTGCACCTCACCATGGTCGACTGAGGAATCACGGCCTACCCCCAAAGTGAAATACCGAGAGATTGTTGGCCTTGCTCTCCCGGCCCGCCAGACCATACAGCATTAACTGCACATGAAAAAGCCAAGGGCTGTGAGATGAGTGAAGCCCGCCACAAATTTGGCTGGTTATTCAACGACGCCACCATCATCTCTTATTGCTCAGTCTCCAGGACAACTTTACACAAATGGCTTCGTGGCGTACTGGACTGCCATGATCAATAGAACAGCAATAAACATCGTGAACTAGACTGATGGCAACAGTTTATTGTGAGTCTCGCCAAGGCCTGTCACGTCGCCGTCTTTCATAATGAAGTCAAGATTGTTCCACGTCAGCCACAATGGTGCTGCATTTTTCTAGCAGAGATGTAGATGTGTGTTTATAAGCGACTAGGCCCCTCGGCCTTCGCCAGTATTTCCCAAGCTCTTGTGCTTGATGATATTGTGTCTTGCCGCCATCACCAGCACCACGACATACTGGGTATGAACAAAATCATCGGACGAAACATGTGGTCTGAGACGTCCGAGTATGAGCGTCTCAAATCGCTTGAAAGAGAAGATGATGACCTCGAAGAGTCTAGCGAGTTGATACACCGCTCCACCGTCAGGCTGCCGAGAAAGATGCTCATGACGCTCCTGGCCTGCAACATGCTTCTGTTCATCGCATCGGTATACATTCTTTGGGCTGGCACCCTGGGAAGATGCGCGCCTTCAGAGTGGGAGTGTGCGAAAACCGTCTCGCCTTGGTGTGAGTACATGTTCGCAGCGCGAGCATCTTCGCTGCACCTTTTGCTGACCAGGGGAGCAGCTCCGTTATGGGAGGCCGTAGAGTTCTGGGAAGGCAATTTCGACAACGACTTTGCCCACCCTTCCAAGTATCGCGGTCCGCCAACGCTTGAGCTGCAACAAACCTGGAATGATCTTTGGGGCGGTGAGCACAACTCCATGTGCGCGCCAGAAAAGCGTATTTACGGGCACCACTAACACAATTCCAGTTCGCGGGGTCGGAGTGGGCAAAGACGATTTGCAAAAGCTTAACAAGAGTGACGTTGATCAATACATTCAGATCCAAGGAAGCGACCCCAACAATCCAACGTACGGCGCTGCGGTAGAGGCTTTGCACCAGCTCCATTGTCTTGTAGGTTACCTCACTTTCCTGGGGTTCGGTCAGAGAATGATCACCCTCAGATATGGCCGCCGGCTTCCAAGGCGCACAACCGGGGATGGGCTAACCGTGACTACTGCCGATAGAACGTGATACGCCAGTACACCTGGCCGCTCGAGATGTATGACAAGTCGTGGGGAAAACTGTACCCGTCAGACTTGGAAGACACGGCTACAGCGCGGGTACATGTCGACCACTGCATAGAAACCCTTCGACTGAGCTTGATGTGCTATGCCGACGTTACACCCGTGCTGCTGATGTACGACGAAGCAGCTGGTGGCCGACGAACCGACTTTAATACCCACCACAAGTGCCGAAATTTCCAAAAGATTATGGATTATATAGACGAACATGGAGTGCAGGTTGATCCTTCTTGAAAGCCGACCCCTCATGCCAGTGTTCTTTTGCTGTATACCAAGAAAACCAGAACGATGGATTAGCTGGTGAAGAGCTGCTTCACGCGATTTCAAGTTGGCGCAAGTATCTTGGGTTCTGTGTCGGGTATTGATACAACTGCCGCTTTGATTCAAGTGAAGGTCTTCGTTACAATCCACGAGCCCTTGTAACGACAACATGGGCATGATGCGAGATACAAGCGGTCCTTCCGCGAGTGGTAGCTGCTAGGAGCGGTGTCATGGGCAGCCCATTAATCAGGCCATGTCATGATATGTAACGAAACACCGGTTGTCACGTGCTATTCAATACCAAGGCATCTTTGAGAAACTCTCTGCTCCAACTCAGACTAGTTGACTAATTGGCACAGAGTACGTCTCAAATGGAGTATTTTGCAGTGAGAAGTCCCTTTCGGCCTATTTTGCGGGAAGTCCAGGGGGTGAGAAGAAATGGCTGAGCCAGATGTAGTTATTCGCATGTTTCTCGACAAGAAGCCTTGGAACTGCGTTTTGAAGAACCCTACAGTCAGCTGTCAGTTCTAGCAGAACTCTAAATAATTGTGGCAGGTTGAACCTGACAGCCCATATGACACACCCGTTTGTAACGACGATACCCTGAATCCATATCGCTGGGCGGGCTTTGTTAAAGACATGAATACAGCTTCCCTCTGAGCACAAGGTTTTCTACAAATGGAAATCTTACGAACTGGGTCTAGTGAGGATTTCCTTGGCAATGAGACAATGCAGATAACCAACATTTGCTTGAATCAGTGCAACATCGCCGCCTACAGTCCGATGAAGCTCAAACATGACGTCTACGCAGACGCAGATTTCAACAAAAATAAGCTTTCCTTTTGAGGACCTAGTCTCGAGGGAAATCTATCGCCAGGGGCAACCAGATTTGTCCCTTCAAATACCCAACAATAGTTGAGTCGGTGCTGTAGCCATTCAACTAAGAATCTCTCTTCTCCTAATTCTGAATGGTATGGCGCCCTTGACAGCCATTGTGCCCAATCCAAACCCACGCATGTCCATTTTCAATGAGTCAACATCCACGAGGGGTTCAATGTCAAAGTACGTCACCATGACTGCGGCGGTGTAAATAATATCGCGCTTAGCGAAATGGCGACCAGGGCATTGTCTCTGTCCGCCGCCGTAGGGGATCCAAGCTCCGTCCACATCCTTGATTCCATACGAGACATTGCCCCTTGGTGCTGGGCAAGCCGGTGGTCCTCCACCCACGCTTCGTGCTGGACATGAACTGCCGGCCTCGTTGCTGGCCGTCCTCCTTGGCCCGCTGCCCGGAACGCCGTCGTACTTTAGAAACCTCTCTGCCCAAAATGTATCGAGAGGGTGCTGGCCGTTTTCACCAGTGTTCCAGACAGCAGGGTCCATGTGCGCGACGGTCGTGCTCATGAGGAGGACATCTCCGCGAGGGACCATCCAGTCCTTTACGTGTAGGTTGTCAAAGATGGGGACCCTTATTATGAGCATGTGTACTCGCAGACGAAGAACCTCGGCATAGATGGACTGCAGCAGCGGGCTCTCCAATAGCAGGGTAATGTTGAGCCCTGTTGGCGACGAGTCTCGACATTTCGCGACCTCGCGCCGTACATTACGCAGGATTTCACTGTCGCTAATGATTTCCAGCACTGCCCAAAGACTGGCGACGACCGAGTTGCGAGTTGACCTGCGCTTCAGTTATTGAGCCGCTCATGAAGGGTCTGCGTCGTGGCACCAACTTACGCCCAGATGACTCCAAAGTCTTCGGAGGCCATGGCATCGGAGTCCATGTGGTCCATCTCGGAGAACAGTCCGTGGCGTTCTCGAAACACTCGGCTGCCCCAGAACGGATCATCGCCATTTTCGTCGACGGAATCCCCCCGGAAGTTGAGCTGGGCATGGCTTCGCCAGTCCTTGACGCAGGCCAGGAGCCGATCCCGGCGGGCATATACCCGGGGTGCGAATATGCGCGGGGTGCTCCGGAAGAAACAATCCAGATGGCAATCCAGCTTCCACAGCTCCTCGAGAAAATCCGGATGGCGCTGCAGCAAGTAGGGGCCACAAAGAGCATCCGTGTTGGCGGCAGAGACTTCAACCTCGAATACTCGGGTCAGGTCAGGCATCTCGGTCCACCCAGCGCCGACTGGGAGATGCTGGAGCTTCTGCGTCAGGTGCGTCTCGTATCGGTTCCAGAAGGCCTTCATTCCCGGGCCCGATAGAAATTTGATCATTGGCCCGTATGTGAGGTAGTCGATGCGATTGCGAGGCTCGATGGCCGTGCCCGCCACGGGCTTGTGTCGATAACCAGACTTGTCCAAGTCGTACAGCCGAAGTGCTTCTCCCGACATCCCAAAGACATTTCCAAGCACAAATCTGTGCAGTGCGGCCATTGTGCAGGTCCAAGAGTTCTTGAACACTGCCTTGACCATATCGGGGCCCTGTGTGAGACACATGTCGGTATTCATGACGCGAACACGTACTGGGTGCTCATGTTGGAACAAACTATATACAAGGTCAGATGGCGTTGAAACCAAGAATAAATCGGGAATCTAAATGCTTGCCTGGAAGACAGTACCCAGCTCACGGGGTCTCGAGACATGGCAAACGACAACGTTGTCACGACGGGCCCAATACTTGGAACCGTATAGGGCCAATAAGGGGGCACTTTGGGACCGCCATATTGCGTTTTTGCCGACTTGAATATCCAAAAGGTTTTCATCCAGCTCGTGAGCAAGCATAATGCGACAAAGGCAGGGACCGAGTAGACCAAGTCACATTGGGCCAGCACTCCGACGAGCACATGCAGAGCCACAAGAGGGCTTTCAACGACAGATGTATGCGTCACGGCAGATGACATCTTGTTCAAGACTTGTTCCAAAGTGACACTTTTCTACTTGGCCCATACAGCAGCTTTGGCGCAGTGGGAGAGTCGGTCGTTTATCTAGGCCACTATTCGTTCCCAAAGCAGTCGAGTGCCGAGCCCATGGCCCAAATCTACAAAGCTGCGGTACGTTTCAGATCATCCCATGCATATCACCCTCCGGCACATGGAAGCCAGCCCATGCAGCTACCCTGGTCATTAGGCGGCATGTGATCCCTTGGTCGACCACGCCTCGTCACTTACAATGGGACGACCGGCTTCTGTTTGGAACTCTGGTTCGACAATATGCATTGTACCCCGGCCTACGAGTGGTATGTAACGATACGAGATGATACGGAGACACGAAATCGCGGCAAGGGAGGAAAGCCATCAACGCCCACGTCTAGAAATCCGCCTCGTGAGGCTGAACACGGCCTCGGATCCAGAAACTCTATCAAATTCCCAACTTTGAACTCGGAACCACTTTTTACCCCGCGTCGTCACCACTCTGAGAAGGCTAGCAAACGTGGACAACATGAGATCTGACGCTTGGAATGAACCAAGTGACACATCAGCACCCTCATACACCAATACCCCCGATTCGGGATGGCTCTGATAACCTATAAGAGCCACCCGCACGTTTGATGGCGCTTCGTGGCGTGCGCTGAAGATGCTGCCAGGTCGACTGTCGCTCTTATATATATGCGGATATGCCGAAACGTCAGCAAACGACGTCCGCTGCCTCTGTTTGATGCGTGTCAACTTGTTGATGTATGTCTTCTTATTCAGAAAGAAGGGCAACGAACTTCCAAACATCTTTGGTTCGAACTTTTGTCTTTTGATTATACCCGCTTGTGGTAAAAAAAAAAGAATCATCTATACATAGGCCGCAAGGGCACGGGGATACAAGGACATGCCCAAAGTTGGGCTTGACCGTGGCGCCCAACATTTTCATCCAACCATTTTTGGTCATCAAATCGCGGGACTTGTCCAGATGTTGCGCCGAGAGAGGAACGGTACCGGACACAACCGCGCATCGAATGCCTTGTACGGCCCTCTGTGGTACGACATGGGGCGTTCTGACCGACTTCACGCAGCGGAAATACATGTTTAGCTTGCCCTCTGGGAACTTGATATGATGCGTAACGTAAACTGTACAGGACCGGTCAAGGAAACAATACATGTGTCGACCGCACCTTGTCCCCTTTCGAAACCACCACATGTCGCATGGCATATGTTATACATGTACAGAGGCAGCCCCAATCTGCTCTTGCTCTACTTCTCGCCCCCCAATCTCTCCATTCATGCGTTCTACCAGAAGCGGACAGCATCAGGGCAAATGCTCTCGCCACCAGACAAAGTCCAGATCTTCTGGTCTCGAACGGGAACGCCGGTGTGAGCGGCATTGACCATCCAGCCTGGCCTGGTAAAGATGCCGACATGGACGACGCCAGTCTTGCAGTTGCCCCCCCCTGCCCCAGAAGAGCAGGTCGCCAGCTTTGGCCTGGGCACGAGGAATGTGCTTGCCCAGCTTGGAGGTGTACTGAGTCTGGGCAGTTCGGGCTGACCGTATCCGTTAGCTCAAGTTTGGCTTCACCGAGTACAATGCGACGTACGAATCTCCGTCTTCTGGGCCTGGTAGACGGAGTACTGTGTAAGACCAGAGCAGTCAAAGCCGCCGTTGGTGGGACCGTGGATGTCACCACCACCCCAGACGTAAGGCTTGCCCTTCATCTTCTCAGCTGCGGCGACGATACCGGGTCCAGTGCGCTTCTCGAGGCCAGCGTCCTCGGCCTGGAAGGGTGGTGGTTAGTGATTTCACCGATTAGAGGCTGCGTTGGGTATATACCTCGGCAGTTGTGGGCATGGCATAAGCGCCAGCGGCGAGGAAAACAGTGAAGAGGGAGGAAGACTTCATTTTGTGGATTTGGTGCTGTAGGCTGTGAATTTGTCTTGTCAAGTGTTTTTGTTTGTTATAAGATGCTGGGTTGAGCTATTCGAAACTTCCAATGCTGAGCGGGCAAGCGGTCCCATTTGTAGGTTCGTTGTGATCCCTGGACTCATGGTTTATGCATCTGTCTTTGAGTGTTGTTTTTAGCTAGATGGGAAATCTTGGGCCAAAGGATCCGTCATGTTGGGGAGAAACATGCAGCTGAAATGCACAGTTCGACGATCGATGCTACCTCAGCCGCACAGCAGCTCCATTAGCATCTGCCTCGCAAGTGCAGACCTGGGGCAAATTTACTATTTTTATTCACGGGCCAGCGTTGTGCTCAGGCAGGATTGCTCTTTGGTCCCTGACTAGAAGCTGGATTCGCCCAATGGCACCCGACTTATTCAAGATGCCGGGCTGGCCCAGCATCGTAATTATAGCTCAAATGATCCATGTATCCTTGGCGAAATGCTGGCCGCCAATCTGGTCACAGCCTCGGCCAAATTTTGACATTTGGCCTCTATTCGACAGCCAGGTACCTGTCAAGTCTTGGGTGACAGTCTCCACACGCGGCGGATCAAGTTTGAAAGGAGGACAGTCATCGGGCTATCGCGCTGTCTTGTGGCATCATCAGTTTATGCCACTCCCCGAGAGCTGCTGGTTCCCGTCCTAGGACAGACTCTGTACATGAGCAACTCTGCCCGATGGCCATGTACACGGATCGAGTCGTCCACCAAGCTCGGCAAGACTTCCGACCTTCGTACCACATCTTGTATTTATTCGCAATGTTCGATGCTGCTTCAACTGTTCTCTCATCCCCACACGACGCCCGTGGAGGCGGCCGAGGCGCTCGGCTTGTCGGGCCACTTCCGTGGCGGGGGAGTCTTGCAGTTGACATGTCTCCAAGGTCCGATAGGGACCAGAATAATTACCGTCTCGTCATTATACGGTGGCTAGAAACACAATGGCACTATTTTATGACAATATAATCATGTCATAGCTTCAATTATCAAAATGATCTCGAGTCGCTTGCGTATTGAACCACAACACAAACTATCAAGGGCAATTCCGCGGTTCTATTTATGGGAACATCCGACAACCGGAACCAGGGTTCTCTAGTAACGATGTGCCGAAATAGGGTAAAATTCCAGCCTTGGCCCTTTAGTAGCTAAAGTAAGCTACTTGTCAGACACAGTCAGTTGCAGGGCTTAGACAAGAGAGGCTTCAGCTGAACCCAACCCATGTTAGCCCTACGACAACAACTTGCCAAATTAGACCTATCGATGTGGTGATTACTCCGTACATGGCGCTCATTTCGGACACCAGTGCGGGACTCGGGACAGCCTTGTGCCCCTTACAAACAGGACAAGTGAAGCTAGTACTGACAAGAGATGGGCTTTATCCCGGGTAATCAGTTACGAAAGCAAGTAACCTTATTGTCCCGGCTTTATCATTACTTCATCTTTTCTTCTCGAAAGTATCTTGCTCTTGAAACTGCCGGTCTGAAAGGGCTTCTGTCCTGAAAGCAGGGCCTTTCGCGTGCCCAATCACATACGGTATATTCTGGCTTCAATCCACCTCATGTTGTGCGTTTAGACAAAACTCCAAGTATCATGATTGCGCCCCTACTATGCTCAATAGTTGGTTAATATGCAGCTCATTACTGGGTATCAGGCACCTCTTTAGCGCTTACCATCAGCCCAGATCATCCAACTCTCCTGTAGACGGAGGATCAATGCCTCTAACCGAAGAGCCCTCTATTCTCGACCATGCCAATGTTCCCATTTTTCTTTTTTCTTTCACCCTCTTTCACCCCCAGTGTAAACCATCATGGCGGGCCGGATCCCTCAAAATATCCGCTTCAGGCTGGGACCAACCCAACTGGCCGTGTCGCATTTCCTGCTCAAACGCCACTGATTGATTCTCTCCGTCTCCCAACCGGACTTGTAATCGGTCCACTTCCCTTCAACCTCGTGCGCTTCCTGCGGTCCCCCGTAGTGAATGGCGTGCATGAGGTGACAGGTGTTTTGGTCTCGTCCTTTCCAAACCCACTGCATACACTTCTCATCAGCTCGGCACAGTTTCTGACAAGCTTGGGAGGAGTCTGCTTGGTGCTCCCCGGAAGGCTTGAAACTACCACGGGCTTCATTGTTCCAATTGTCGCGGGTTGACTGCTGGCCCGGGCGGTAGAAGTGCCACATGTCCGAGTACATGAGCGGTTGCTGTGCCCGGGGAATCAGTTTGTCAATATCCAGCTACATTTTCTCGCGGTAGGTTATATTCCCCATGCATTTGGCGTGGGCGACTTACCCCGTGTTTTCTGTGCTCAAACTCCCACCTCCATAGCTTGACCATGTCTTGCGTCGCGACCTTGTGCATCGTCACCAGGGGATGGCACCAGTGGTCGTCGTCGAACGGGAGAGCCGTCAGCAGGTACGGCGTGAACAGCGGATAAAAGCCCTGCAAAACAATGCCCAGCTCCCAAGCCGCAAAGCCGAGAATACTGTCGCCGCAGCATTCGCCGTCGTGGGCAAGATATCTGAACCTCTCGCTGAATGGCGGGTCGATGTACGCGCCGTTGGGCCCGACGCGACGGTCAAGAAGCTTCTTCATGGCTCCCCGACTGAGGACGTATCCAGGGCCGCCGTTGGCAAACAACGTCCCTTGGAGGCGTCTCCCGTCCCGGCGTCCGGGAGACGCCGACCCCATGTACAAGGGCGTGTCGGGATCCAGTGTGTCGAGAAAGCGAAACATGTTGTCCCAAATAATATATCTGAGAATGATTTGTCAAGTCAGTGTCATTGCAGTCGGGGCAAACTTGTCAACGCCCTACAGCGTCGCACTTACGTGTCCGTCTCGTAAAAGACGTAAAATTCCTTGTTCGGCTTCATCGTCCACGCTTGCTCGACCCCCGGCAAGAACTTGAACTTATCCAACGCCCAGCCATCAATCTTTTTCGCGGCCTCTTTATCCGTTTCCAATGTCCTGTTTGCACTCATCTCCTTTTGCAGCAGATACTGCTGGAACTTGGAGGTATCCGGACCCTTTCGATATGTATCCGGCAGATGAGCCAAGATGTCGATGACTTTGTGGCCGCGCAGAGTCTCCTCCATGTCTGAAAAGATCAACAAGTCATCTGCGGAAAAGCAGGCGCTCACGCTGTCCAACTGCGACTCAATCTTGTCCCGGTTTTCGCTGTATCCCATCTTCAGAACAGGCTGGATCCGCGACAGCTTGTGTTTGGGGAAACTGGCGCATAGTTCCTGGGTGGTTCTGTTGCCGGGGCTCAGTGACACGGGCTGGAAGTCGCTCGTGGTTGGAAAGCTGTACGTCTTGTTGAGTTCGTCGGGTTCCAGCCACAACTTGTTGGGAGCAAGTTCCGGCACCGATGCTGGTTTACGGCGGCTCCACAGAAAGAGGCCTGTTAGGAAGAACAGAGCTGCCGTCAGCAGGATGTTGCGATTGAGGCGCTTGTTGGTCAGAGGCGACAGGCGCGACTTGTCCGGCTGATTGAAGGGTTTCATGGCCATGACGTCTATTCAAGACGCCGAAGTGGCGACACGAAGCCGGCTTTGACGATTTGATGTTGTGGCTGCAGTAGATGAAGGTCAAGCCGCGTCATTTCGTGTGCTGTCACTAATAAACACGAAACATCATGGACTCTTTTTATGGCGCAGATTTTCGGGGACTTGGAGGAGGGAAGAAGAGAGAAGACTCCAGACCCAGACAGAGGGCGAGACTGGGCTCGTCAGCCTCGCTCCATGGTTGTGCAAACCGAACCCGAATCTGCTGAGGAAGTCCTCATTTCCCTTGGGCAACAAAGCTCACCCACTTTAGCCTTGTGGGTATCCGAGCTGACCTGGAGGCCAGGACTGACGTATGACACGGTGGGATTCAGAGAAAGCCTCGTTTGCTTGCGGAGCAGATGGGCCGAATCCGATCGTTGACAGCCACCCGGGGTACCGCCAAAGGTCCGTGTCCTGTTGTCAAGATATTTAACCCGCCCGCGGCCCACCTTGTACGTTTCTCAACACGTTGACCAAGACAGCCAGCCAGTTGCTTCGAGGCTAGACTCAGTCTATGACTCGGTCATTTCTTCCAGTTACTTTTCGTCTTACGTTGGCATCTTGGCATCTTGGCATTCGCCCAATCCACCCACGAATTTCGAGACGAGTGACCAAGGGTTTGTCTGGCCAACGCCCTGCCGCTTCCGGCCACAGATTTGTGGCTGGGGCCCGTCTACGGTCGCACATTAGCCAAACTCCGCAAAACACCAGTCTGCTGAATCAATTTTATAAAAATCGTAAATTTACTAAAAGAGATGAAAAGGTATTAAAAATTAATAAATAATTTATAATTTCACAGCATTCGCTCAAGACCGTAAGTCGGGGCCGCTGCTCCAGTCTGTGAGCATGAGTTTTCTTCCACCGTTGACCCTTCTTTGGATGCCAAATCCGCGCCAGTCTTCGTCAGTCATCTCACAAGCCCCATCGTTCAAAAGAAAGTTTTTGTGAGTGTAATCAGTCTGCCTATTCGAATTGCCCTTTGTTTCGCTGCAAGACTACATGGCGCAGGCTATTGAGACAGACTGTTGTCGGTATTAACACAAAGCGGAACTAAAGTGGCGCAAACAGCTGTCTTCCCAAAATGTCAATGTTGAAACACTGCATGGCTGGCCAGCATAGTTGCGGGGCGACGGAGGCGGAGCGACACTACACTTTGATTAGCTGCCAAGTATAGAACATTGGCTAGATGTTCGTCCAGCATACGAGGACTTACCGTACCCAGCTCTCCTCAGTTTGCCTGTAGCATGTTTTTCATCATTACTAGTTTCTACCCCGGCCGCGTCTTTTCAAGGCTCAGAAATCCCTGATTGCAGAATTGTTGAATGACACAAGTCTCCTTTCTCACGGTCGGTTCGGAAGCCAAGATATCAAGAAAATCACCTTTTGTGAAAACCATGTTCGTTTGAAGTGGCGGGGCAGGGTCATGCAGAGCTGGGGTATCCCGGGTGCGCACATTCCCCGATGGCAGCTGTGTGAGCTTTCTAGCACCAAATTTTCCGTCCAGAATGTTGTCATGTTGTGCAAGACGAGAAATACCTTTGACTTTCGGTTGGAGCTTGTAAAAAGAAGTCCCTGTTACGAGCGTCTGTCAGTCCACGATCCACGACAGCATGGTCTTGTGAGTCCCCCTCCTTGTTGGATGGAGCGAGTGCCGTGACTACGAGCCAACTCCAATGGTATTGGCCCATGGTCAAGTACATGTACAATGCATCTGATTCGTCGCAGCATAATCTCAGTTACGCTTAATGTCCTGTGAACTCAAGTGCTCCTCTCACGCACTACGCGGTATTTATATCAAGTTGGTGACATTTTCATGTTCACCACGAACTGGTGCTATTAACAATACCTCGAGTTTGTGATTTTCTGGTTGGCTAGCAACCTGCAGGTCATGATAGACCAAGCAGCCCGCTCCAAGTTCCATTTGCTCTGCCTCTGTTGCAGGCCCCAGGCTCAACCACAGGCGCTTCTCAGGGACTTGGCTACCAGAGGCCATCAAGTCACGGCTAACAGGGAGCAGGAGCTTTACATATATGCATGGCTTGGGCCGTACCGTCCTGTCTTCTTGAGAACAAGGTTGTGAGCCATCATCGACCACAGCCTTTGGACTTGCGTCTCATATGAGCGACAATATGCTCCTAAAGCGCCCCGAGAATTCTGCCCGAGCCCCGAGCCTCGCTGGGATTCATGGCACCCGTCAGTAGTGTTGACACTACGCACAGTGCTAACAGCAGGAAGAATCACTCGAGTGTTCGGGCCGTGAACTATTATTGCAACAGAATGATGGACGTGAGCATCATAACATGATGGTATGGCTCGACTGTAATAGTCCCCTTCATCGTGTGACGAGTCCAGACTGCTGCTCCGAGGTCTGGCTGTGTCGACACCACCGGATAACCACACCAGCCACGTCTGAAGCGTGTATGCCCTCTCTGTAAGCGAGAAACCGCCCCTGCCGACACAAGCGGTTCAGCGTTGTGATTGGCGACCAGACTAGTTTATCTAGGCATCATTTGTAACGGGCTGTTGTGAGTAAGGACCGCCGCAGGTTACGCCAACGTTTGCTTTGAACCAACTATTTCCAAAGTAATGGTCCACAGCCTGCTGCCACTCCATGGCAGTATCCCAGACCACGTTGTGTTCAAGATCGAGTGCAGAGCAGGGGGCTCGCTCTACGCGTATGATTTTATGACGGTCGAGTGTAACAAAGCGGGCGAGTCGTGGACCTCGGCATTTGAGCAATGTATTAGACACGCGAGAACACGCACAACGAGAGTGGACAGGTCTACGTTATGCTTCAGGTGCGCATGGACGTCCAATTTTATCATTGGGGAAACGCAACGTTGACTCCACGGAGAAATACCTTGCACCTGCGGAGTGATGTGCAAGAAGTCGTGGAGTGGGCAGACTATGTTAAGGCACACCCCTTCCCAGTCGTTAATTGATGTCCCATGCTGCATGAGTGGTCAACAAGTCCTCAAGTTCAGAGATGGTTCAGCGTCAGAATTGCACATCGTTTGGACATAATACACCTCCGCTCATACACTTCAAGCCACTCGGGTGCTCTACGTCAACCAAGAATAGAATATGGAGTTCGCATGTCATGTGTGCTTGGTACCCTCGCTCTGGCTTGTAGGACAAGCCGCTCATCACCCCATTAAAAACGATTTGAGATTCTATAGGGGAAGTTATAAACCGGTGCCTTTTGACCTCTTTAATGCTCATCTTCACACCTCCATCTTTCCACGAGAAAAGTGACCCCAGGCCAAGTTCACAGCCTAATTTAGCCGACGCAACGAAATTGGCTGTTGCATAACAGAGAATTTTATCCTGAATCTCGATAGGAAGGCTGTTGATTGAACTTGGTTGTGGCTTAGTGCCGGTTGTATTGGTTGTCCAGAGAATCATGTCGATAGCAGCATCGGATGCAGGAGTGTCGCCAAATAGTGTCTCGGATCTCGTCCACACTAGCTCATTACCGTCGGCCTTGCAAAGAATGACTTCCCGAAGAGTCAAGATTGCATACGTCACCACGCTAGTCGTAGAGTCTCCGAGCGATGGACGACTGTTCATATGACGTTGTATCATCTCCAGGCCTTCTCGGTATTCACGCGCGAGGGCAGACCATTAGTTGCCAACGGGTAATGGTGTCCCGCGACCACCTCTTTCAAGGCCATCTGCATTCCATCTCTACTCTCTGTATATGCGATGCCGGGCAGCGCTAATGCGAGCCACTGAGAAAGTAATATTGAAAAATGAGGTGCGGCGATCTGCTGGAGCCAAGCAAAGATATAAGGGTACATAGAAGATGGCGAGGTTTTGTATGTTCTCCGTAAAGAGGTATTAGTATTTGTCAGAATGGGTCACTTATTACGGGTACAAATTACGTACGCATAATCAGATAAGGGCAAACCCTCAACCACGAGTGGATAACCCTAATAATAAGCGCACTTATAAAAAGAGCGTATATAATTCTCTCTTTTATAATTAAATATAGACTTATATATATACATTATCGTTATAATTAATGCCCTTTAAAGTGTGATAATTATAAGCCTAGAAGAACTTTAAATTCCTTATAACTTTTACTTAAGAAAACTAAGTATTTAAGGTATTATTTTAATACTTATTTCGTTATATTTATGCATTTAATAGATACTAATATTACTTCTATAAACACCTAATTATCTACTAAGCTTAAGCTAAAGCTTTTAAGCTAATAGTATAATTAGTATAAAGTATTGAAGGGTTAAGCCTAAGCTAATAAGCTTTAGAATATTATAGACCCTAATTAACTAAATTACCCGGCTAATACGTTACCTGCTCCCCTTTAACCTACTTTAGCGAAGGCTTACGTAAGCCTATTACTAGATTAATAACCCTCGCTTAAGGTGGAGAATAACTTTACTATATTATATACCCTTTAAGCTATATAGCTATAATATAATAGTAAGCTTAAAGCTTATATAAGTAAAGAGACTAAAGCATATAATATTTACAAGTAAATTACGTATACTATTAAACTAAGTATCTATGAATCTATTACACTTTACCTTATTAATTAACATTTAAAAGATTATACTTTAAGGTAATTAATTAAAGAGATTAAGGGTTAACTTACCTTACGCGACTCTAATATATAAGAGAAAACTTATAAGCTATATATAGTCTTTAAGCTTATTATTATATTATAAATATATAACTTAAAGGGTATATAATATAATAAAGTTATTCTTTATTTTAAGCGAGAGTTATTAATTTAATAATAGGCTTACGTAAGCCTCTATTAAAGTAAGCTAAAGGGGAGTAAATAACGTATTAGTTAAGTAATTTAATTAATTAAGGTTTATAATATTTTAAAGCTTATTAGCTTAAGCTTGCGCTTATTATTAGGGTTATCTACTCGTAGTTAAGGGTTTACTCTTATTTAATTGTGCGTACGTAATTTATACCCGTAACAAGTGACCCATTCTAACATATTTTATACTCCACCAAATATATGCACATTGCAACTTTTAACCGCCTGGCCGGAAGCGTATCCACATTTCCTCCCCAGGTGAAGAAAAGAACGAAGGGAAGAAGAAAAAGTTGGAATTTCATCAGTATTCGGGCCTTATCAAGTAAATTCAGTGTTGCTAGTAGCTGTATAAGACGTTAGCCGCAGTGGACCATTCCCCGCGGATTGTTGGGTCCCAGGCAATAATATAAGATTCTTCGGCGACTGTACTTTATGGTGATGAAATAAATGTCTTGAAAGATCAGACAGAGGTGGCATATCACGTGAGGTAAGACGCACGTCGCACAAAAAATCTAGGTACGAGCCTAGGCACCGAGTTATCAGCATATACGGAGTACTCCGCACTCGTGTCAGACCCAGCTTTCATTGGATCTGCACTTCGCCGCAGTCTAGCTCAGCCAGCCAATCACCAATCACCAAGCAGCAGGCAGCCAATCAGACGATCAGGAGTCCAACTTGCATCTTCAGGCAGCAGCATTTCCCTCACAGGAAGAGGTTCAAGAGGGCCGCTCCTTCCCCACAATGCGGCCGAGTTTGGACTGTGCACTCATCTCGTCCAGGCTCATCGTTTCGTCTGCCGCCTTCGTCCCCATTACAGGCAGCCAGATAAATGGCACTAGACAAAGGGATTCTAGGCTTCGCTGAAAGCTAAAGGTCGAGGTCAGCTGCGGCGACGTCGACACGGTTGGCAAATTCCTGTGTCTTTTCCATCTTCATCCTCTTCTGAATAATTCGTTGCTATACTTTGATCCCGGGGCCGCCGTTGGACGTTGGAACGACCACCACGGCTACGTCCACGACCACGACTACCACCAGGGATTCCTGTTTCGCAGTGTGCAAGACCCAGACCTTTGAACAAGTATCAGCGCTGAGCATTGAGCTCAGTTTGACAACGGGCGTTGGCAAGCTGGGCCCGCGGCACAGTGTGCGCCATCAATAGATGTCGCAAGACGTAATATCTAACATCCGCTCCTATTCATACTCGTCGAGTAAATCTACCACGTCATGGAATCCTTCATCCCCATGGGCGGCTTTCAACTGCCTTTTCAACGCCGGCTCAGCCGCCTCTACAACGACACCAAAAAATCGAGCGACTTTGTCAAGGAGCCCGTTCAAAATGAAGAGGACCCGGAGATGAAGACACTACATCGGAAACTCCGCATCCAAAAGGATCGCCTCGTTAGCTGGGGCCTTGAATGGTCTGACCCGAGCCAATCCACGGAAATTGACGAATCTCTCTCCAAGGCTGGCCTGAGCGAGGTCGTGGGAAGCATCATGTCCACCATCAAAGACATCCTGGCCGAGGCGGAACCCCTTTGGCAGAGCTCGAGGCATGTTGTTGCTTCCAGCAGAGCATCGCCGGACAAGAAAGTTCCCTTAGTTCAGTGGGACAAGGCTCGGTTTGAGGACCTTATTCGCGATCTCACTGCCTCAATTGACACCTTATATGACTTGTCGCGGACGAGGTCGTCCGGATACTTTCCTAGACGCATGTCCAAGACTACATATAAGTCGCTGGCTACCGATGAATTTAGACCATTTGAGTCGAGTCGTATGCAGACACCACAGCATATCGACCCCATGACGCTCACTTTTCTGGGTCCCAAACGGCAGGATGCATCCGCAGCCCCTGCGAGGCAAGTCGTCTTCATGAGCAAGATTGCATATTCCGAATTGACCCAGGGTACCACAACCAAAGCACCATGGGCTCCTCTACTTCTAGAGTATGCCACGTTTGACTCGATTTACTCCGTGACTGGAATTATGCCACCAATGTCGCGATTCGAAAGGCTGTCGTCCGGCCTACAGCAAGATCCCCAGCGTGCTCCAGGGACCTGGACGGGTCTACCGCGTCTCTTGGGATACTTTGAAGACTTGGAGAACTCACGAATCGGCCTTGTGTACAGGCTCCCGCCTTCCTTCAATGCCGTCTCCCTTGAGCCGCGCACCAAGAACCCGCTGTATAATCTTCCGACGTTGCATGACCTTCTCTCTCGTCAAGATGAACCACCTTTGGAAGCAAAGTTCAGATTGGCCTACAACCTCACCAATACCATCTTCGACATGCACGCTAGAGGTGTTACCCACGGTAACTTGGCTGCTAAAAACATATCTTTTGGCAATGCTAGTACGGAAGACGCCAATGCCGAAAATGGCGTTATTGACATCCGCCGACCTCTTGTGTCTTCTTTCGACATCTTCCCAGAAGACGAGGCTGCGTCCAAGCCGTCGCCTTGGAGACATCCTTTGGATCCTCACAGCTCACGAGGGTCTCCCGTTAGCAGGACTACGGATGAGCGTGTTCTCGAACTGTACTCGCTTGCTATGGTGCTGTTGTCCATTGGCTTGTGGACACAGCTTGAGGCACTGCTTCCCAACTCGGCATCGACCATTGTTCCTGCGTCCGCTTTGGATCGATTGACAGTGAAGTGCGGGACACTTTACGTGAAGGCGGTCCAAGCCTGCTGGCATGCGGTTGATGATGAGTTGAATGGACAATCAGGCGGGGAGATCCTCTTATCCGCAATACAAACGCAAACTACCCGGTTCCTGGAGACTTGTTGCATTTTGGATGGCGTGAGTGATCTCGAGCAGCGTCTAGACCAGGAAGTGCGCGACACAACCGTGACCCAGCAGCAGCGACTTGAACCCACCAATGATACCAAATCTCCATCGGGATATCCTACAGACAAGAAAACCTCGGTGCTGACATCTGACTCTAACCGAGGGCTAGTGGGACACGTAGACCTGGCCGGAGAGGATGTCGATGGTAGAGAAGCCTTCATGACTGATTTAGTCTTGTGCTCGACTAACACATTGGCAGATGCTCCGGGCAAGCAGAAAATGAGGCTATATCCTCATGTACCACTTCCGCCCGACGTTGTCGACAAGTGGAACACCATCTTGATGCCCCAAATCAACCAGGCTCTCCGCCACTTTTATCGAAAGCATCCCGAATCTGTTGAAATCTCTTTAGAATCTGTCGGGACAAGCCCCCAGGCTGCGCAGCCGACCGTCTTGATTGTTTGTACCTCGGTTGGAAAAGTCCGCGCCATTTTGAAGAAACGAATTGGCGAGCTCTTTGACGGCACAACTGGATTCTCACTCAAGGTGTGCCGGGGCCATGTTCTCCGGTCCCGGCGCTTCTCGAAATCAGTTTTCCGATCCATGGCCCGAGCAAATGCCGCCGACGGCGACGATGAAGACGAGACGGAGGCAGTAAATCCAGAATATCAGGAATGCCCGGGAAATGGAGCCAGCATTGGCGCCTGGATCGGCGACCGACATTTGCCACCAGTTAGTTTCGGCGGCCTTGTCTTGGTCGATGATAAGCCGTATGGCATGACGGTCCACCACATGCTCGACGACCCAGACCGGGACATGACGCAAATAGACACCCTACGTAGCAGTGCGGCTCCAGGCCATGACTGGTATGCCGAGTTTATGGAGGGCAGCGGGGATGATGAAGATTTTGCGTACGACTTGTCAGATGCGGAATCTGAGCCGTACTCTGAAACCGACATTACCAGCGACTACGGCGACGACGACGGCGACGAAGAGGAAGAAGAAGACGAGTTTGAGCCGGGCGATATTCCAGGAATTGAGCCGGGATGCGGTGACGGCTACGTGGTAACGCAGCCAGCTTTGGATGACGTCGAGGAGGGCTTCTATCCTTGTGCAGAGACCGAAGATGAAGACCACCTTGACACCTTCAGCTTGGGCGAGGTTTATGCCTCCAGTGGCATCCGCCGCAAGCAGGCACAAGGCCTGATCCATGAAGTGGATTGGGCGCTGTTTGAGTTTGCAGACGGCCGCCTCCCCGAGGAAAATGTCATACCTCGTTGTGAGGACGGCAAACCGAGGTCGGATTCGAGCGACGACGCCGCCAAACTACGGCCCACAACAGTTGCGCCCTCATCTTCACTGCCGGGGATGGAGGTGCAGTGCGTTGCTCGAACGAGCGGCCTGCAAAGCGGTCAAATTCTGCCCGCCCTGACCAGTGTGAAGATATACGGCCGACGCTCGCCGAGCCACACGTACCAAGTCGCCAGCACGCCAACGGTTGGCGAAGGAAAGCCCAAGACATCCAGTCTGCCCATGGGTATTCCCGGCGACAGCGGAGCTTGGGTGGTGGACCGTCGCCACGGCCAGTTGTGTGGCCACGTACTGGCCTGGAGTCAACGGAAGCGAGTTGCCTACATTTGCCCCATGGATGTCCTCTTGCTTGACGTCGCGCAGACGCTCGAGGCATCCGAAGTGCGTCTTCCGGGAGGTGAGCCCGTGGTGACACTCGGAGATCCTAGCCAATACCACAGCGCGAAGCAATCGAGAGAGGGCGAGGACAATGACGACGACGACCTGAGGGACTTGGTGGAGTACGAAGACGACGACGACGCTCCGGCATTGGCTCCAGGTCCATCAAGTGCGAGACAGGGAGACATGGAAAGCTCACCCACCTCCGCCAAGAGCCCAAGTAATCAAGAATCGTCCAGTCCACTGCGACTAGAGACGTCTACTGAACTGCGAGGACTCGCAAGTCGGTTAGAGGACCTCAATATTGCGAGAACACGGAGGATAGGGGTGAACGGGTGACTTTTGGGCTTTTTCCCTAGTTCTCTGCAATGTGGACGTCAATACCGGGACACCCCTTCACTCGCCATGGCCAATGCGGGCGTGCAACATGGGAAACTGTAGTTTTTCTTGAATACCCTTGGAGTTGATTTGAAGTCGGGCAGCGTAGCGAATGGACACTCTTTGCGAGTTATACTTTTTTTCTTTTCTTTTTTTCCAGCCTCTATCGCTCAGAGCGTAAAAGTGTGATTTACATAAAGTCATCCTCCCAGTCCGCATCGCGATGCTGATTGCTAGAACTCGCCATGCTCTCGTCGGTAAACATGTCGTCGTACGCATGGTCCTTTTGCCACTTCTTCTCCTTCCACTCCTGCGCCTGCCTTGCCTCTTCTTTTCTCTATCTCCAAAGGTCAGCACCATGCCCCCAGGCACCCCTAATTGAAAAAAGGGAGGGGGTGAGGAGGCTTCCGGCCCACGTACCCTCGTCTGCGCGGCGGCCTGCTCCCTCCGCCGCAGCTCCTTGAGCCGGTCGTCCCGCTCCTGCTTCAGGTCCGGCCTCTTCTCGACCCTCGTCTTGCTGAGGCGGTTGACAATGGGGTTCTCGCGCGCCGCGACGAGCACGCGCCTGACCTTGCGCGCGTCCTTGAAGGACACTTGCCCGACGTCCATGGACCCGTCCTTTCTGAGGTTGGACCACGGCGTGTAAATGACGGTTATGTTGTCCTTTTTATTGCCTGTTGATCAAGATTTTAATTATTTTTCCCCTCTGTAATTAGCCCACAGCTAGTTCTCTCCTGTCCTTGTCCTACAAGACTGGGCGCCAAAAAAGAAAAGGAAGGAGAGCGCCTACCCTCTATGGAATTGGCCTTTGTGAGCTGCGCCAGGTCCGTGACGAGGGCGTCCGGGAGGGCGTCCCAGCTCTGGCCCTCCTGCATCCGGAGATAGATGTGCGCGCTGGAGAGCTTGTCGACGTGGAACTTGACACGTTAGCCGCTCTGGTCACCACAGAGGAGTGGCGCCTTACCCAGACGTCCTCGTCCCAGCCATACTTGATGAGATCCTCGTCTGGCAAGCATAGACGTCAGTCGAAACTCGGGCCGGTGACAAAAGGAGGGGGGACGACGTGCTTTCAAACTTGTCCTTGCCGACGTAGATGAAGCCCGGGGGCTCGACGGCGCTCGACGTGAAGTAGTAGACCATTGTGGGCGTTGTCCTACGCAAGAGGACGGATGGGTATATGTCGACAAAAGCCGAGTTGGAAATTTCCTTGGGCCGCGCGCGCTTGGCGACCGTTGGGGGGGGTTTTGCGTGGCGCAACGTGGGGGACCGCGTTGTGGATTATGTACCGGGTTCCACTGGCCGACCTGCTCTCGAGGCGGAATATTCCACGCGCACTTGCTAATATAGCTTTTTTCTCTTCGTTTCAATAACTGACGAATGGAGAAGTGTTGGCCTGGAGAACCGTCCTGTAATGCACGTTTTCAAAGCTGCATGCACGATTTCTACGCATCGGCATGTCCATATCACGCACGGCGTCACACTACACAGAGAACGACAGTCCCGGCTCCCAAAAGGTCAGGGTCCCCGGTGGCAGACGAAGCTAGCTCTCCTTGGCACTCTGGCATATCAAACATGTTGACTACCTGGGGAACGCAGGCCGGGGCGGGGGGGAGGGCGTGCCGTCACGCTGGGCCCCTCCGAATGTTTCGGAGGGGGCCGGACGTAGGTATGGCGGCCCGAAGCCGTGTGGGTTTTCGGGATATTCTGACAGCGGAAACGTGTTCGGTGAGGAGACACATGGGTGGGAGAAGGGGGCTGCCCGTTTCGTAGCTGGCTGGTGTATATCTCGGCTGTTGCCTTGGGCCGTGTTTTAGACGGTCGATACTACTACAGTGCTGGCAAAACACGTTGCCTGTAGTTGCGGACTAATAGGGCTAGGATCCTACCAGGAAACACGTTGGATAAGATATATGGTAAGAAAAGGGATCCCGTGTGGCGCTGCGTAGCTGGTTGCCGTGAATATCGTGGGTAATGGGCCATGTTTCCAGTGTAACCTAGAGTATACCACATCACCTTTAGGAGCTGCCAAATCACGAGTTACCATGCGTTGGGAGCCGATGGGACCATGCCATGCGTAAATCAAGCTTCATTGTGGTTGGCCACTGATGGTGCCATGTGTGCGAGGAGCGATTCCCGCTGCAATTCGAATAAGCAGCCATGTGCTTGCTGCATGCAAGCCAGGTTCCAACGCCAAGTCAAACCATCTCCCACGTTATTTTCCCATATCCTGTCTCCATGATATATCGAGTTCTTGTCATTCTTGTTGTAGTCACAGCGCCATTGTCCTGCGCGTCTGCTAGTCGCCGCATGTCATTTGAGCGCGCCGGCTCGTCTGGCGATTTCCATTTTCTCTTCCTCCTCAGGTGCTATAAGATAACTGTTAGCTACACGAGACATGCGTAGCTCTGTCGATCTTGCACCGGTTCCGAGGCACGCTTTCTGTTGGGGTTGACTTACTTGCTATAGCACGAGGCACCGTGTTTCCTGCTGCGTCTATATACTTGCTCGACACCTGTGTGACCAGTTTGAGGCCTTCTTCCATTTTGTAAATGTCGGCACGCAGGTTAAATCTACCCTCCATCGAGATCTGCGACGCTGGAAAGGCAAAGAGGTAGCTGCCTTCGGAGTCGGGCTTGAGCCCCCCTTGGGCGCACTTTGGCCCTAGAAGAACATCGCTGACATTCTCGTGATTCTCATTCAACAAAGTAATGTTTGCCACGTACGTGCTCTGAGAATGGTCTCCCGTCTTAGACAGTTCGAGCAAAAACGGCGGGTATAGAGAGCCACCGCATTGTACCTTCGCCGGGGGCTCGATAATGAAGGTGCATTCGATGGTGTGTTCGGGCATTTTGTAGTAGAGACGCTGAAGGGGTTTTTCTTGGGTCGAGGTGAAACACTGTACAGTGCAAAGTTGATGCAAGAGGTATGACTTCAAGCCCGCTCTCTGCTCTGGTTTGCTGTTTATATTTCGTCATCCGTTCACTCTTGTCCAAGAAGCTTCGCAGGAGTTTGTCTTCTTTTTTCCAAGAGGCATGTGACTTCTTCAACCTTGGACTATCGAGGTAACACTCAAGGCAGGGATTCCCGTGCAACACAGAGACAACTCCGAGCCAGTTGCTGATGATATCGCGAGACACGACCCCGAACAATGATCAAGCAAACTGGGAACAAATAATCCAGATAAGCAAGAGGTTGTCTTTGCCTCCCTATCTCGATGTTGCAAGCACACAGGAAGAAAGGGGGGGACTAATTTAAGATAGTCAAGAAGTACAAAATTAGCAACTTGCCCCGATGATGGTGTTAGCAGGCGATAGTACTGGCTCGTCCCATGAGCCCACAACAAAAAGCGGACGAGAAAAGAGAACAAAGTGACGGACTGGTAGACGGCTTCGAGTTCATTAGTTATTTCCAAACGGACAGAGGCGAATGACAAGCCACAAGTTCCTCGGGAAACTTATGCGGCCAGTGAAATGTGTCACGATGGGGTGAAGAGGCTATTTTGCCCCAAGAGCCGTATCGTATCCTTTCGTTACACAAAAGGAATCAAAGCCCATCCGCGCACGCACGAGCGAGTGACTTGTGCGTTCGGTCAACCCCAGAATGTCTAACGATTTTAGACAAAACCTTTCCAGGAAGAGCACGTTGGTTGACTTGGATTGCACACAATTTCCTGTTAAATGCGAGCTCTCCCGAAACCTCGGAAGTAAAAAAAGGTGACTCGAGACATTTTTGGAAAGACAAGCCGTGTTGTTTGAAATTTTTTTTATTGAGAAGGCGACGGGTACTCTCTTCTTTGTTTTCCTTCTCCTTTTTTTTTTATTTCCCCATTACGTTGTGTATGTTGTGACTTATCACCGCATGGCTGCCCTTCAGAGCGCATTCCTGTGTACGTTTACATGATATGCCGCCCTGTTTGGTTCGATTCACCCAATATCATGTTGAAAATAAGGATCGCAGAGTCCTGCTTCGCTGAGCAGGGGGCGCATGTGGAATCGGGGGAGGGTGTGTGTGTATGTGTGTGAGAGAGTGAGGATATATTCGCAACCAGCTTGTGGGCTCTACTCCGTATTGCCTCCGAGATATCTGACCATGTCACCCAATAATATTGCTTACCGATGAATAGTCGAAAAAAAAATAAGAAACGAGAGAGAAAGACAGAGTCAACTCCAGGGTTCAGGTTCACAAGGGTCGTTTCCAACCCAGCGGATCCGGGACGCCTGTGTTACCATGCCCTGTTGGAAGAGCTTGTTTTAAACACAAAAGCTACTCCGTACAGCATCAAGGGAAAAACTGGTTTTAAGCTGTGACGAGATGATCAGTAACCCCACACCCCTGTATATGGCAATTGACGTTCTGGACCTGAGTTGCATCGAGACATGCCAGCCCTCTGCTCTCATTATTTTCCTTGTCTGGACCCACGGCGAAGAATTGGTGTCGAATCGGTGTCGTGAAATGGGACTCTTTGTCTCACAAAGGGGTGTCACCGCAGGCCAATATGCTCGCGTCAGGCTAACAATGGGAGTTGCTGTGCCTGAGCAGTCACGACACTCCAGGCACGCAGTCATTTTGCTGACTCGAGTGAAGCATGAAAATAATGGCCATCAGCCCCTTATCCTTTTGATCGCCTGAGAAAACTGGCCCGCGCGAAGATAAAACATCCAACGGGCGACATTTTGAACCGTTTGCGGTGCCGGTTGCAAATCTTTTTGCCTCACTATTTGCTTTGTTTGGCTGTGGCGGCTATCAAATTAGTCGGCTCGGTTCGCTTTCATCTTCACTGTTGGTCATTATTGGCCCACCCACGACAGTTCGAGGCAAACCAACCACTGTGCTTGCTGAGCTCTTTCTAAGCTCTATTGAACGTGAGACGATGGGAAAAAGGCTCTTTCAACGGTCATACTCGTAGGAATACTGCTGCTCTTGTTATTATCCAACTGCGACCTTATACGGCTGACTCGGTTCAACCACACCATAAAAAGACTTACACTGGTATGTCACGACTCATCACCAGCCTCGTACTCCGTACGCATCAACTGAAATGCATCATTTCCCGCTGGACCCTGCAATCGGGTTTCTGGAATCAGGCGGGAGAAAGCTATGGTCACGAAGTCGTCAAGGATTTTTTGCTCATGCAGAATCTCATCTGCATAATAGTGGCCCATGCCGAGACGATAGAAACAGAACACATGGAATCGTTGTGTAGATCCTGAGGATCTTGGTTCGGGTGAGCTGAACCTCACAGGGATGCTCGATTCAGATGCGAAAGAAGAAAAAGACGACTAAACGCAGTGGGAGAAAGCCGCATCTCCCGCATCAATCGCAGAGTCGCATACCAGCTCCCTGGGCGAGGTTCTTTGTTCACTTAGTTACTATCCCATCTTGATCAATGTCTTGGACTCTTGGCCCACATCGACAGGGCCGACAAATCTTTGGGAACCAACACACATACACCCCATGTTTCGCCCAGGCCGACCTCGCCTTTCTCGGCGCGGTGAAGAAGCCGCATTGATGTCAATTTAGAAGAGTGCAGCTGAACAAGATGGCTATACTCAGTAGCAGCTTGCGAAATGTTGACGCATTGCTACCAAGGCGATTTCGGGATAGCTTCGCCAAAAAAGAGTGCAACAGTGGCGTGCCAGTCACAGGCGACAAGATTATAGATGCCATGTGGGAATGCGATTTGATGGAACCCAGTGCCTTCTGGAAGGTTAAAAGCTCATTCGAAGCGCCACGTTGATCGTCGTGCATGACCTGTCGGGTTATTGAATTCAGGCTAGGCTCGATCCTTTGACCTTGCTTCGATTGGCATCTTAGGCCCAAGAGTGAATGGCTTCATGGTGGACTAGCATGGGTGATGTTGATTGTAGAGACGATACTTGCTGGGGGCTTGAGGTAGAGTAGTCCTTTAAATGGCCAACCTCCAAGGCTCGCACAGAGGTATATACAACCTGTAACAACGTTGCTTTTGTGAGGCATGTACTGCTTCTTCTTTCGGCGTCACTCTTCCTGTCCTTCTTCCCCCCCCAACCGGCTCTTGGTGACGGCTGTACAGGGTAGCCAACTCCCGCATCACGACTGGAAGCTGTCTCGATAATACCCTCAGCGACTAAGTGGACGAGCTACTTAAAATCTTCTTCCCTGTAATATACCAACCTGCCTAGGCAGGTTCGGGGATCCACCTTATCTTGTCCATTAGATCAAGCCAATCAATCTCTGGACAAGACCTCTCTGCACTTTTTGTCAAGCCGTTGGCAGCCGCTGAAGGCGGAGAAGCAAGAAGCCACCGGCTGACAGTCTCCGAGGGTCCAGCAAACCGAACAGAGTCGACTAGTAAAAGGGCCCTGTCCTGTAAAGTCCGTGGCCGGGTAGCGTACCCTGTGTTTTCGACGAGGAGATTGTATGCAGCACTTCGTATGCGCGGTGGTTATTTTCTTATGGTTCGCTCACGTGGTGGCAGCAGTAGCTAGCCTTCGTACATATGATTTTGTAATACGGAGTACGGAGTAGTTATATGAAATGGCTGTTTGAGGTGAACTGCGCAATTCGTCACGCTGCCCCGAGACGGATGGCCCCATCTGTGCTGTGCCCCTGGCTGTGCTCAGTGTTACGTCGTCAATGGTGGATCTCTAATCTGACTTCGGCCAACAAACATATCGTTGACACACAAATACTTGGTTCGCGCCGTATTGTACCAGTGTCTTCATGCCGTTGGGTCGGCGTACAATCGACTGAGAAGATGGCGAAGGCGTACTTTGCGATGGGTGTCGATGCCTTGCCAGTGTCGCGAGCATGGACTAGGGCGGCTGCTGGTCCAGCTCGAGAAGCCTCAGCTTGGCCTGCTCGGCCGTGCGCCATCAATTCATCATCTCCCAGACAGTCTCTAGACACGGAAGGTGGAAAGCTTGGTTGTCGACAAGTGCGTGTGAGGCGTATGCTGAGCTACAGGCCCGAATCACAATCATCATCTTGCCCGTCGTCTGGCTGTATGGCGTGCGGATGTCGAATGGCAGGCCCCACCAAGTTGGACCGAAACTCCAACTGCAACTCCATTTCCATCTCCATAGATCCCGTCGCTACCCCTCCGACCCCTCCGACCCCTCCATTCTGGCCTGCTGCTTTGCGTCAAGCTGCATGCCGCCCAACCGTACGCCATTCCCCTCTCCCCGCGTCCTCCTCTTCTTCAATACCATCAAAGATACCCTGGGGACTCGGCTGTATGAATTATCACTCGTTTCTCCCCCTCCGACGAAGCAGCCTCTCGCACTCGACGACCCCTCCATCAAAGTCACGCAACCAAACCCGTTATATTTGGTCCATCGCACTGCAAAATACCATGGCCGTCGAGGACTTTGAGGCTGTTCTCAAGGCCAAGTACCCCGGCAAGGCGCATGCCAAACGCGTAGTCGACCTCATCCGCAAGACCAAGCCTGATGCGAACGGTGTCATCTACCTCGAGGGTCGCATGACCAAGCTGCTGGAAGACAATGATTCTCCCGAACCCTTCAGGTTTGTCGCCTTCTCATTAAACCTTCGTTTTTCTTTTGCATCACTGCCGCACTGAAAACACTCCGTGTTCCAATCCAACTAACCTCTCCAGACAACGCCGATTCTTCTACTATCTCACCGGCTGTAACCTCGCCGACTGCGCCCTCGCCTACGACATCCAGTCTTCCAAATCAATTCTCTTCATCCCTCCCATTGACCCTGATGATGTCATTTGGTCCGGTCTTCCTCTCAGCATCGACGAAGCTCTGAGCCGCTATGATGTCGACGAGGTCAAGTTCACCACCGAGGTCAACCCCACCCTCACTCACCTCGCCAAACAGAGCCCCAACTCGACCGTCTTTGCCATTGCCAACCAGGTCTCTGACAACGTCACCTTCATCGAGTTTGGAAGCAAGGACTTTGAGACTGTCAAGAAGGCTATTGAGGTTTCTAGAGTCGTCAAGGATGAGTTTGAAGTTGCCATGATTCGCAAGGCCAACCACATTTCCAGTCTTGCTCACAAGGCCGTCATTGAGCGCTCCAAGACTGCTGCCACTGAACAGGAGCTGTATGCTACCTTTTTGGAGCGATGTGTGTCTCATGCTGCTCCCGAAATGGCCTATCATCCCATTTTGGCTGCCGGAAAGGCAGCGGCTACTCTGCACTACGTTGACAACAATGCTCCCCTGAAAGGCAAGCAAAACTTGTTGATTGATGCCGGATGCGAGTGGAACAACTATGCCTCTGATATCGTGAGTCCTAGGCGCCAGAAAATGCTCCCATTGGTCCACGTGTTTTTAACAGACCTTAGACGCGAACCTTCCCCTTGACTGGCAAGTTCACCAAGGAGTCGAGGGACATCTACGATATTGTCCTTAGAATGCAGAAAGAATGCACCGAGCTCATCAAGGGCGGCATGATCTGGGATGACCTTCACCTCCACGCCCACAAGGTTGCCATCGATGGACTGTTAGCTCTCGGCATTCTCAAGGGCGACGCCAAGGAGATCCTCGACGCCCGAACGAGCGCTGCCTTTTTCCCTCACGGCCTGGGGCACCATCTGGGTATGGACACGCACGACACCGGCGGCAACCCCAACCCCAACGACCCAGACAAGTTGTTCCGCTACCTGAGATTGCGCGGCCACGTGCCGGCCGGTGCAGTTGTCACTGTTGAGCCTGGTGTAAGTTTTTTTGCCTGGCATCAGCTTGACAGTCAATGCTGACAGGGATAGATATACTTTTGCGACTTCATCATCAAGCCATATCTTGATGACCACGTCCACAGCAAATACATTGACGCTGCTGTGCTCAACAAGTACTGGGACGTCGGTGGTGTTCGGTAAGTTGTCAACCATTGGGATTGCATTAGTCAATATACTGAGACTGATCCTGGCAGAATCGAGGACAATATCCACGTCACGGAAAATGGTTATGTAAACTTGACCACCGCCATCAAGGAAGTGAGCGATGTTGAGGCTGTGTCAGCGAAGTAAGTGAAGAGTAAAATTGCTAGAGTTGGATAAAATATAGCCACAAATCGTCGCAATACAAGACTATGCCGACATGAAGATATCTTGATTCACCAAACCATCTTTTGTATGTATTTTCCCATTGTAGATTAAGATTTGCGGTGAAAGCTCATTCTTATCGACAATGGAGTGCTGTGTAGTATGAGATGTGTTTCTCATGCTTCTAGTGCAAGTATTGAGACACCCTTTACCTGGACACGGCAACGTCTCTGATTCATTCCACTGAGAATGGTCTCTACAAGCAGGATGCTACCCGACCAACGTCTCGTATTTATGGCGCGCAGGCAATCTCCTGGAAAAGCTTATCCATGACTGAAGCCATTGGTCGTTTTCGGCCATATGCGGATGCAAACTGGGTAAGTACATATATTACATCGGCACCACAATCGTCAAGGCACTTGGTCAAACTCAAGCTCTCCTTGGTATTATATAAGTTCTCGCAGTGTTTACGACACCGCCTTTTCAGGACTCAATTTTGTTGCTGGCGGCGATGAATCATGTCAACGGGCACTTGGCCTTCTTAACCAGGAGCTTGATTGTCGACCAATCTACTAAACTGGCGCGCTGAATGGCGAGACGTGTGCGAGTGAATCCCCGGGGTTCGTGATGTGGTGTGGGTATACGTAGAGTGCGATGGCGCTTGTTAACGCCTGCGGGCAATTCGCGGTGACTGCATGTGATGGATGTTTCTGAAGGCGACGGCGGGCTGGAAATGAGTTGCGTGGCCGTCTGTTGAGCTTTTGTTTCTCATGTGGTTGGCATGGGTTTACTAGCTAGCCCGTGTATTATGTTTTGTTGCTTGTCGAAACTGTGCTGCAGACGTGGCGAACAACAAGATTCTACTTTGACAGAGGATGTCGTGAGCAAAATCAATATGGAGAAATGCATTTGATTGCGTGGTCATCACGTGTGACGCCCCGAAAACGTCATATACCTCGCATCCAATTTCCATCACCAGACCGTCCCATCCAAGTCCTTTCCCTTTACCACCACAAGAACCGCAACCAAAAGAAGAAAAAAAAAAAAAAGAAAGAAAAAAAACCATCAAGGTGCATTCATCGCTGCGTCGTGACCATCTACAACCAAAGCCGCACTCAAATTGCCTCGAAGGAGCCTTGTCTCGACGCCATCACGTAGCGAAATGAGCCAAGCCGTTTTCTCCTTTTTGCATGCCACACCAAATCGAAACGAACGTCAAACAACCCCCCCCTCTCATAATGCCACAACGCCTGCATTCGCACCCTGCCGACGGAATACCACCATAATCTTGATCATGCATACGCGGTAATTTGTCTTGTCTCTACGCCAAAGCCATGGAAGACGCCCGGGGATGGAAGGCAGGTCCACCACGACCACGGCGGCAACAGACCTCTCGCACCGCCGCCGGCGGGTTTCACCTCGTCGAGACGGAGACTTCACCCTCACCTCTTCGTCCCAGCAGGTCTCTGGCAGACCTGCGCTCGCCGACGACGGATGAACCGCCCATGCCGCCACTTCCCCCGAGATTCCGCGACCCAGAGCTGCCTCCGTCGCCGCCGCCTCCTCCCTACGAGGTTCGCCGGGCCCAGAGCTCGTCTGCCCTCTCGCTCGATGCGTCACGCACCGACGCCGCGGAGCCGGACGCGCCGCCGCCAAAGAAAACCACGCTCGGTCAAAAAATGCACTTCGCCATGACCGGCCTCATAAACAACCCGGTCGAGTCGAACAGTCACTACAGCGTCATCCGCCACTCCTGGCTGCCCGTCATGTACAACGGGCCGGACACGTCCGTCTCCATAACCATCCTGTCAGACGCCCCCCTCCCGGCGAACAGGACGCTGTGGCTCCGGCAAAAGGGCTTCTTGGGCAACGTGGGCATGGCCCTCCAGGCAATGACGAGCTCGAGAAGCGACTGGGTCGAGGTCACGCCCGCGCAGGAAGCCCAGGTGAAGCACGTCCCCGACCAGAAGGAGTCCATCATGCAGCGCGACTTTGAACGGTTCGCGAGAAAGGCGCGGGACAAGCACAAGAGACAGGTACCCAGGGAGACGCACATTGTCCGGATCCCGGCCGCAGCGACGGACGGGTACTATAACCTGGTGGTCTGCGGGGGCAGCAAAGCTGCCGCCAAGGTGCTCTGCAAATGCCCCGTCTTTCGCGTGGCGAGCATGTCCCAGGACGCGGCGGTTGTCCGGGGCGCCAGCCTGAGCACGCTGCCGCTGGAGATTGGCCTCAAGGTCGCTTCTGCCGTCGGCACGCTCGTCGCCAAGAAGTACATTGGCGTCGCCGGCGTGGTTGCCGAGAGGAGCGCCGGCAAGTACATGGCCAAACAGTCGGTCAAGAAGGCCGCGACGGTGGCCGTCGAGAGCTACCAGGGGCTCGGGGGCCCGGGGATCCAAGACGTCGTGAGGGATAGCTGGAGGCGAAAGCGGGCCGCCGGGGGCGCCAGCCTGAGCACGCTGCCGCTGGAGATTGGCCTCAAGGTCGCTTCTGCCGTCGGCACGCTCGTCGCCAAGAAGTACATTGGCGTCGCCGGCGTGGTTGCCGAGAGGAGCGCCGGCAAGTACATGGCCAAACAGTCGGTCAAGAAGGCCGCGACGGTGGCCGTCGAGAGCTACCAGGGGCTCGGGGGCCCGGGGATCCAAGACGTCGTGAGGGATAGCTGGAGGCGACAGCGGGCCGCCGCGACGGCCGGGTACACGGCCGAGTTGGCAGCCGCCGTGATGATGGGCTCCGACGACGGTCCCGAGAAGCCGTTCCCCTTCAAGTTTGAGGGCGCGGTAGAGCGCGGAACCGGCACCTCGAGTGCAGAACTGGGCTTTCCGACCGCCAACCTCTCCGGGGTCCCGGACGCCGTCAAGACACCGCTCTCCGGCGTGTTCGCCGCCTGGGTGAGGCTTCTCCCCCGAGGGGGCAACACAGCCGACGGCCTCTCGCCGGACTGGCACCCGGCCGTCGTGACCATTGCGCCTCCTCGCGGCGCCGCACCCGCCGTCACCCCCAGGAACGGCGTGTGCGTCCATATCCTCCACGACTTCAACGACGTCACCTTTTTTGGGAGGAAACTGGCCGTCCTGCTCATGGGGTGGCTGCACCCTGCCGCGCCGCCAACGGCCTACTCTACAGATGTCGTTGCCCAGCACGCCGTCGACATGGGCACCGCAATGGCGAGTCTAGACAGGGAAAACTGGTCCCCCGAAAAGACAATGGCGCGCATCAAGGTGCTCAGGAGCGAGAGGAGCTTGTCAGATCGCCTGGATGGCGTGACGGGCAAGGTGGTCCTGGGCGTCAACAGGATACCGCTGCATCGCGTAGCCGTGAGGAGCGAGTCGGAGGCCATGAGGGATCAGTACTACGGCGTGGGGGGCATATGGATACGCAGGGGCTAAATTGTAGTCTCTGAAGACGGAATGTGAATTGCCCATGTTTTTGGCCTGGCCTTGCCGCAAGTACGCAGAAGCCTATGCATGTCACCATCACCACGTGTTGCGTTCCCAAGGGGCCAAAAGGGGCCCCAACACAAATTTTCTCCAACCCATCTACCACACCTACTCTGCTGCAATCATGAGAGGGGATAAAATAGCCCGGCATGAGAATCACATGAACAACTCCAGCGCCAAATGTACAAGAATTCTTTGCATCCTTTTAAAATGACCCTACCTACCCACAGACGATCCACAGCTCCGTCGGCAATCGAGCACGTACCCCGCAACTCACGGCCCGTCTGCATCGTTACGTGCATGCTGGAACGGGGGTTGGATGGACAATACGTAGTAGACAGGGTGAACGACATATCGTGGCGCCGTCACCGCTCTTTTTCGTCTTGTCAACTATCAATGGTCACGCCCGCCGGTGACGAAGCGGCGATGCGGGGAACAGACATGTTCGCGCTTCCTTGCATATGTTTGCTTTTTCTTCTTTACCCGGTATACACAAAGCGCTGAGTCTGGAAATGGATCGCTTGCGCCAATGGCCAACATGGAATCACCGCACTGGGCACCAGATAACACGAACTTTATAGCTTGTCCTTTGGTCCTGTGCAAGTTGCAAAGTACATTTCCTATCAAATCGTTCCAATTATCCGAACCTGCTGAAATTGGTTTCGTTAAAAAAACATGTCGCTCAATCCCTAATGCCTTGGAATCCCAACGCTTGACCCAGCGTGCACCCATGCCCGGCCTCGTTAAACCCAAAGAACAAACTCTAGAGGAAAAGAACCCATTATAAGTTTTGTTGCCTGACACCCAGTTTGTAAAAGCAGATTGGCCGTGATAATGAAGGAAATAGTAAACCATGAATAAAACAGCAAAGCCCCACCTGATTGATAATGCTTTGTACCCAACGAGTGTCATTCCGACATAATGCCCCCGGAACGCCAGAAATCAATTTCAAAAGTTTTGAATCTTACAAAAAGCACATTAATGCTAAACATCGCTGCTGCGCTGCATTGCGCGAATGCAATGAGCCAAGATAGCCTCTGATGCCAGTTTATCCTTGTATTGCTGTTGCGGTGTGTGTCTCTGTTGTCCAGGGGAAGCGCTCAGAGATGCTATCGCTGGCAGGAGTTCCCGAACCGAATGCTAAAGCTGGTGGCGTTGATCGTCCCATATCTGGAGCCATAGCCGAGGAAATTTTTGGTTCCTGCATTGTCTTCGGGGTTGCTGTAGCGGTGTTGGAAGCTGGATGGGGGCTGCCAAATGATGGATGGAAAGGCTGCATATGCCCCAAGTTGAGGCTGTGATGCGCAGCTGCACCGGCATGATGCCGCGGAGCTGGGCTCTCAACTGAACCATAGTTGGCAGTTCCGTAATTCTGCCTTTGCGCCTCGTCCATTGCCCCAAGCTTAAACGTCCCATCTCTCACAGGTGGGCTCGTCTGTTTCGGGGTAGAGCCAAACTATATCCATTGAGATAACAGTTAGTAAAACACGTCTTTCGTTGGGTGCGGTCGATACACAAGCGCGACAAGGGAATTCCAAAGAGGGCAGGCCAAGCCAGGGGGCGAATCCCGCAGTCGAGTAGGCGGCTAGGGTGTTGTAGGAGGGTTTTCGGTAAGGTTGAACTGGAGATCGGGAGCACATACAAAGCAATACCTGTTGACGAGTTCCTCATATGAGACGCTTGGTAGACTCGACGCAGGTGAGTCCAGCCCACTTGGCGAGCTTCCACTGAATGGCAGAGACGCCGAGGATTCAGACCCTCGAACGTTTCTCTTCATGTAGAGTGTGTCCTTCTCCTTCTCCTTGGTCTTGGATTGGTTGGAGGTCGTGTCCTTGGCCGCCTTGACAGCAGCGTTGAGAGACGCACCAAAGTCGTAGCGGTTAGAAAAGGCAGCCCCGCTGGGTGACACCACATCTTGAGAAAGATTATCGCTCGCAAGACTGGAGGAAGACTTTGACTTGAAGCGGAGCCCGCCGGCAGAGTCAGACTCGCCGAGGTATTCATGAATAGGCTGATCAAATTTGAAGACACCATTGGCATTACCGAAAGCATCTAGGGATGCGGGCATAGACAGCGGGCGAAGTGTACTTGCGCCACTTTGTCTGCGGTTGGTGCGAGGCAGGCCATTCAGAGGCTTGGAGGCTGCTCCCTGGAAGTTATGCTTACCATTCTGCGGCAAAGGCTTCTTCTTGAAATCAACTTGGAAATTGGTCGAGTTGTTATTGTCCCAATACTTCTGGCCGTTTACCGTGTAACGGATGCATAAGAAGAGAGTCTTGGACTCTAAGTCGGCCATATCTGACAGCTTGATGGTAAAAGTGAACCGATCGCGGCCTTCCGAGCCCTCACGAGGGCGTATTTCATGACTGTATTCGGCGCTGACTTCCGACACAGTCTTCCAGTAGTCCATGGTAAAGCGACAGACAACTGATTTGTGAAACGCCAAATTTGCCACGCTGATGGAGCCCAAAAGAGACTTTTGATCGTTGGATAACCAAACCTTTTCTAACCTCGCAGGCATCGTCCTGCGTACAAGAGAGTCGTGGGGAAAATTAGGGGTAGCAAGCTCCCACTCAAAGGGGGGAGCCTTGCCTCCATCGCTGCTCTTGAGAAATGGATATTCCGCGTCGCTGTCGTAATTTTCAACCGGCGACGACCCAGCGCTTACGGCAAGGGGCCGGTCAACTTGCAAGAAGTGGCGGACGTGCTCTAAATGAGAGTCAAAGTGAACAGCCTTCGAAAACACGGGCGTGCCCGGCATACTAGACGGGCGTCGATTGCCACGAAGGGCCGGTCGTACCAATTCACCAGACTTCTTCCGCACCATCTGGGGTTTGAACTTCAGGTCGTCATCTGCCTCCTCTTCGGATGCGGCCAAGGAGGTTCTTTGCTTCAATATTGAGGCATGGGGTTCGGTGGCAGAGCGCATGTGTCCGTTTTTGCGCCCTCCTATGGGCAGCTCGCTCAAGGCACTAGTGCTGAGGCTCACGCGTAAACTGGGGAGAATGCTATCCATGTGTTGTGTTTCTGAAGGGGGAGGGGTCGCAGCTTTGGACATTTGACTGACTGCCTCTCTCAGGTCTTTGAGGACAACATTTCGTCGACTCTTGATCTCTGGGGGCTCATCTTCATCGCTTCCAGACGTGGCGGATTCTGGAGGTGAAATCAAGGCTCCTTTGGGAATTAACTCCCGCCTGTCGACAGCAGGCGGCGGCGATTGCCGCAGGCTGCCACCCAAACTTGGCATCGTGGGTTTTGTCTCCTTGGAACCATTGACGGTGGGAGATGTTGCTGGCACGGGACTGATCGTAGTGACTGACTGTGTGCGTCGATGCTTGTTTAGGTAAGATGCGGAACGAGGGAGAGACGGCCTGGGACCGGACTGGAAGGAAGAGCGACGGCTCACATCAGGTGAGTTTGACACTGAGGAGGCAGGTGATCGGTGTGGCGGCGGAGTGTAAGGCATTCCCAATTCGGGCACAACTTAACGGGAAAATGTAGGCTTCTCAGCTATGTTTGATGTAGATTGAGTGGCAGTCTCAAGCGCATAGATCTAATGCATGTAAGGGAAAAGATACAGTGCAAGATAAAGTGCGATCAAAAGGGAGAGGTATCGATGAAAAGCAACAGGATTATAGTGATGCTGTTGGGAGATTAGCGTTAGCCCATGATTATGATCCATGTTGAATAAAGAATGATAGCAAGGCAAAAATCATATTCCAAGCTCGAGAACTAGGGTCTGAGAGATGAACAAGGATAAACTCACCGATACGCCTAGGAATATAGCGGTTCCTTTGGTTCCTCTGGTACAAATTCGTCTGCAACAACAGTATATATACTCTGGCAATATTCCACAACAGAGTAGAGACTGAAGAAGCAAGGAAGGGAGGAACCAACTTCAACGGATGGAACGGGAAAAAAGAGAAAATTGCCGATGAAGCAGATCGATGAACGCTAGCAGATGCCAACAGAGCAGCTAAGGGTAAACTGCAAAGAGCTGGCTAAGGCGACGACATGAAGCCCTGTCGATGCAGGAATGACGAGAGGCTCGTTTATCGTCGTGGGTCCCGGTTGCGGTTGAAGCGAGTAAGAATCGACCGAAATCCACCACTTTGCGTCAACACCGGTATCAAATCAATCGACCAACCAACCGACTCGATACTGTGTCTCAACACAGGGCCGTGGGCCTCGAGAGTGAAGGATTAGAGGAAAGCTTTTGAAGAAGACAAACAGCGATTGGGAAGCAGAAAAAGAGGAAGGGCTGGTAGAGGAGGTGGGGAGGACGATGGTTTTCATTGAAAGCCATGCATGCCATGGCATTGATAGCATGGCGTTAGCACTTGGGTGGACTGACGCACAGTCTTCCTTGCTTGGCCCGGGCACAGCGGACCAGACTAGCCCGGTAGACTGGGTCAAGACTGAACTGGTGGGCTGAGGCTTGGGGCAAAACCGGGGGGGTGTGTGGTTGTGATTTGCACGGAGTACTCGCAGTGTAGTTCACTTGTTGAGATGGGATTTTCTTTTTGCCAATGGATGGCTGATACTGGACGATGGTCGGAGAGCGGGGTGTAGCATCTAAATTATCAGTAAACGTCAAACCAAATGTCCATGTTGACGCTGATGATCTAGCAGCGCTTCAAAATTAGCACAGACCGTTGGAGTTAGCGCATGGCATCCTTTAACCTGGAATGTTACCAGGGCAGTCAAGCACCGCCTCATGTATCATGACCGGATAGCAAGGCAGCGGCCTCTAGCGAATTGACTTTCCAACGTGCCGATGCCAACGACAAACGTTGTCCACGGTAGACTGCGGCGTGCTGCGAGGCAAAACTATCCACCATTGTAGAGTCGGAGCCGCCACCAAGCATCGGATCCCGGACCCCAACAACTCACGGCGGATTTTTAAGCGTATTGCGTTGTAATCGCATTATAGATGGCAGATAACAACGGTGGTCCTGGCGCAAGTTGATAGTAAATGATGTGCTCCGTACGGGAACTCCACACTGGCGGCATCTGCAATTGTGCATTAGTACTACGGTAGTGTTGTAATATCAGTATCAATCATCTGAGCCTGAGTTTTTTTTTCTCTTCCGGGCTGTTCTGGATCCAGTACCTCTTTCGGTTTGACGAGCTGCAACTTGGCCTGCAAGTCGCCAAGTTAGAATGCGGCTCAGATGGGGGGAAAGCACTGAACTGCAGCATGCTCTGGTCACCAACGGCGCCGCGAGCGGAGAAAATCCTGCAGGCTTGGATGTGGGCAGGGTGATGCCGTGCAGAGACAGCGCGGGCGACCTACTATTGTAACGGTAGAGCGCTTGAGGCTTGAGACTCGGCGAACCTGGTTCGGAATACGGAGTCGTGCCCGCCTGCATCTCTTGCGTGTGCTTGCGTTTCTGTTCGTATGCCGGCACGGTGGAGAGTAAGCACAATGCCATCGTCGATCTACGAGCGGGGATTCCGGGGCGTTTTGGCCGTGAAACATATAATAGACTTGGCAACTGCTGACTTTGCCCCCGTGAGTAATTGCTGCCATGCTCACTCACCCCTTGCCAGTCTGTTTCGAAATTCTCGTCCTGGTCACTCTCGTGGCCACGGGCCTTGCATGATGGGATTGTAACCGAGAAATGGGGAAAGTCTACGGAGTGTTGATACGCCACATACCTGGTGTGGCGGTGATGCCAGACCGGTCCCGGACTCCACGAGATCGTCATCGAGGAAGCATCCGAGTCTTTGTCTTACCGTTGCGACTCCTGGCTGGGGCGTTGTGCCCGAGAGTCAAGTTGGCGGTTCATTTTTTTTTTTTTGACACACCAGGCTTCTCCGTGAGGGAAAGCAGAAATGGACAGAAATCGCAAGTGTACCTGCCTTTGGATGCTTATTCCCGTCCTTGTTTTCCAAACCCGACGCTGCAAGGAAGGAGCGATAACTTGCCCAAACTTACCAACCAGTTGACGTCTGGTGCCTACTCAACTTGAAAACCCCCCACCTGGCAGGCCCTAAAAAATTTCTGGATGCCGTCTTCCCATCCTCAAGCCACCCGTTTCCGCACCATGCCCATGCGTCCCGTTTAATGACCGTCCTCTCTCTCGTCCTCGTATCGGATCATATTGCATGGACTTTTGACACAACTCGCCACACTGTCATTTCCCGACCATGTACATGTGTTGCTTCCTGCGGCACGCTGCAGATGAGGCGACAAAAAAAGCCCTCAACATTATGAATGCGCAAGAAACATGGCGACACGTCCTCCGTCCTCCATCCCCCATCTCCATCCTGCTGTCATGACACAACCTACGGCATGGCGCCTGGCCATTGTCTTGTGGTGGCGTTTGCTTACCGACAGAATAGTGTTCGACATCTCCGCGTATGAGAGTTAGCCAATGCTTGACGAGAACCACCACAAACGCCACCATGGCACAACCACATCAATCCTCACCGTTTTGAACGCGGCGCAACCAATTCGGGATATTTGGAGCCGCAGGCACACTTGCATAACAGCACTGGCCGCACTCTGCTGCGTTAGCTGGGTGCGACAACGGACCTCATTCATGATGCTCGCCTCACATGCCTTCATCCTTGTTGAATGCATGAGACTAGGGGTGAAAGAGATATTTTTACAAAGAATATGAGAGGGAGGGCAATGGCGTAAGAAATGCACCATACACATTACTCATGCCTCTTGGTTTCGGAGCGACGGTCTACATATTCTCTCTCCCGATAAAGCTACAAACCGCAGGGTTAGGATGGTACGCAATTGTTACAATCACTCAGCACCTAACAACTTGCCACCATCAAAAGCGCAAGAGCCCTCAACCCCGAGCTGCGCAAACGCACCAGCCATTTGCATGAAGCATCGGCGATACACTGATAAGCAGAACCGAAAGAAAGTTACTAGTACGACGGCCTTGCCCAGTGGATCCGGGATAGCTTGGCACCATAATTGCCCGTTGCCCTTGCCAGCCTAGAATTGGTGTGGTGGGTATCCGAATTTTCACTCTTGGCCTGCCGATGTCTTTTTTTTTCTGCTCTGGCACCATTTCCTCAGTGACTCGGGGGCTCAAGAGATGCATTCCAGTTGAGTATCTTCGGCCATAGCTCACCATTTCCGTCCGTGTGTGGATTATGATGTGACGGGAAGACGTACAAGAACGCGGGCCTTGCATCTTGGCGTATCAGGACTCGACTACGGGGGGCAAGCTATTGGCAGCTCCCTCAACTCTGCTTTATTGCCGCTGCGCAGATTTTTAGTATATTTATTCAACCATCGAAATGTGCATTAACAACCGGAAATCCTGTTTTCTCTGTACACGGGTCAATGTCCAGGTTCGAAAAACTCATTACGTACCCATATCTGTTCTCACGATGCCCCTGTCCATCATGCCTTACTTACTCCCTTGCTCGATCTAGCTAATTACCGAACATCCACTCTACAGCACTGTGACGTCGTTGATGAGCACACGGGCCCGGCATGTACCGATGGGCAAAGATCACTTATGGCCATATTTGGCAGCTTCCTAGGTCATAGAATCATCGAACAAAGCAGTATTGAAATAACAAGAATAATTAAAATATCGGCTGTCAAGTCAGAGACTTGCTCTTTATGGGAGGACCGAGATGACATACTACGAATACAACCTACCAAAAGTAGCCTCCGGGGAAGATGAGACGGCACAAACCTTGTAGTAGTGGAGACTGAAAGCCCCATAATGCCTCGCTTCCCATGCCTGTTCTTGTCTGGACAATATTGTCACGGTGGGCCGCGTGCTTATCCATGTTCTTCAAAATCTCGATGTCATTGCATGGTAAAATGCAGGGGCCATGCTTTTTAAGTACCGAAGGGCACGAATTTGGTTTTCGGAGGAGGATGCAGAGCAATTGAGCATTGAAATCGGTAACAATTTGGTAAGAGAGAGAAAGGACCACACACCACAAGCTGACAGTCACGTAATGCACAAGTCGCTATGTGGTCACCACGGTCTCTGGCAAAACCCGTGCTACTATTTCTAGGCTGATAATAACAAAGCTTGAGTGCTGGGAATGAATGTCCATCAAGGTGTGAATACTGGGTATGATATATGTTACATACTCATCGCGACACTTTTTGAACAATTTCCGGCTCTGCTCTATCTACCAGAAGCCGACTTTTCTTATATACGACATTCAATACATCTTGCATAGCCATCAGTTATTCGTCCTTCAACTTGACGATGTGGCGGCCGTGTCCAGATTCGGTCAACTTTGTTCGCCTTCAACTAAGGCGGCCATGCCAGAGATAAGAACAGACACCCCCTTGTCATGGGTCAGGGTTACGGAGTAGTTACCTTGATCTGCATTGGGTCGTTGCTGAGGTGGAGCGTCAGCCACTGATAGGGCAGGCGCCTTGCGTCGATCAGTCAATGTTGAAAAAGAAATACTAGACTAACACTTTAAGCCCTAAACAAGTGCTCGCAGTTGGAACAGTTGGTG